ATGAATGAATGAATGAATGAATGAATGAATGAATGAATGAATGAATGAATGAATGAATGAATGAATGAATGAATGAATGAATGAATGAATGAATGAATGAATGAATGAATGAATGAATGAATGAATGAATGAATGAATGAATGAATGAATGAATGAATGAATGAATGAATGAATGAATGAATGAATGAATGAATGAATGAATGAATGAATGAATGAATGAATGAATGAATGAATGAATGAATGAATGAATGAATGAATGAATGAATGAATGAATGAATGAATGAATGAATGAATGAATGAATGAATGAATGAATGAATGAATGAATGAATGAATGAATGAATGAATGGATAAATGAAAATAATAATAACATAACAGTACAAAAATGTCTAGAGAAGATTTGCATTGTACATTAGCCGCTTGGGAGCAGTAAGAGAATGAAGAAAGCATTTCGATAGATAGCCAATGACTTTTGTTTTTGCATGTGCGTCTGTCTCTTTGTGTGTGTGTGCAGATGTGTGTGTGTTTGTATGTGTGGGTGTGTGTTTGTATGTGTGTGCATTTTTTTAATGTTTTTCATTTCGATTTTCCAGCACGGTTATTTTGTGCACTAGCTCAAATGTCTTTTTGGTACGTTGGCTTGTTTTATAATTTTCTTGCCACTGCTACTACAAATACCATTTCTATTACTGCTGCTACTCCCATTGCTACTACTGCTGCTGTTGTTGTTACTGTGGTTTAATGTAGGTTTTGTTGTTAATGATTTTGAATGTGTGCACGTATGTGTGTGTGTGTGTATGTGTGTGTTTTCGTTACTTATTTATGTGTTTTTAAACTTATTTAAAAAAATATATATATATAATTTAATGAACTCCGATCATTAATATATTCATGGCCAGAGTTCATTGATCGATGGATTGATTGCTCTTAACAACATATTCTTTGCACGCATCGTGAAACATCTTAGTTTTCATGATTTTGTTGTAGCGGTAGTTTATGTTTTAACATAGCTGCAGCAGACATTCATTCATTCGTTCGTTCTTCCATTTGTTTATTCATTCTTTCATTCGTTCGTTCTTTCATTTGTTTATTCTTTCAATCAATTGTTCGTTCGTTCGTTTGTTCATTCATTCATTCATTCATTCATTTATCTTCCCCTTTTATTACTTCACCCAATGATTTATTTATTTAATTGCTTGTCCGTGCACTAGCATTACAGAATTATTTTAATTTTAATTTGTTTATTCAGTCATTCTTCCGTTCATTCATTTTCTCAATAACTCACTCATTCATTTACTCACTAACTCACTCACTCATTCACTCACTCACTCACTCACTCACTCACTCACTCACTCACTCACTCACTCACTCACTCACTCACTCACTCACTCACTAACTCACTCACTAACTCACTCACTCATTCACTCACTCACTCACTCACTCACTCACTCACTCACTCATTCATTCATTCCTTCACTCGTTCATTTTCGTGTAAAGATGTTTCTGCATCACGTTCTTTATGTTTATTTTTCCATCTGATCAATATTCCAGTTCCCGGGGTGTCGGTCATGATAGTGATCTTCTTACAGGCGATGATGATGACGATGGTGATGATGGCGATGATGATAATGACGATGATTATGAAATGCCGATGATGATAATGATGAAAATGAAGATGATGATGAATGTGGGTGGTGATGAACACCATCTATAATTTAAAAAATGAATTACTGAATGAACAGTCAAACGAACAAACAAACGAACGAACGAATGACCGAACGAATGAACGAATGAACTAAATGGATAGATGGATGGACTAAAATAAACAAGAAAGAATAAACAGATGGATAGAACGATAAATTAATGGTAAAAACGAATAAAATAATTTACGTAAAATGGTAACAAGCACTCGATATAATGTTTGTAAGAATGGTCATTAGCCGACCATTCAAATTCCACGGTGGCATGATTCCTTGGCGGTGCGTGTGTATTTTAGAAATTTAGGATTTTGATATTTTTAACTGAAATGGTTTGTTTTTTCGTGTTTGTCTGCTTGTTTGTTTGTCTGTCTGTCTGTTTGTTTGTTTGTTTGTTTGTTCGAAGGTAAGGTATGTATGTTCGTCTGTGAGTGTGTGTCTGTGTGTGTCTGTGTGAGTTGGAAGGAAATTTACTTTTTGGCCCCTAACAACATATTTTAATGATTTTGAACTATAATATATGCATCTTGTTATTTTTTAAAATGCCTTTATATACATACACACACATACAGACACACACAGACACACACACACACGCAAACATAGACGCATTTATATGTGTAACATACGCAAACGCACTGATATTTATGCGCGAGTCTAGCAATGATAGTAATTTTCATGCTTTAAAAGCTACAATTAGACGAACGTTTATGTTGCAATTTGCAAGTTTGTCCTATTATTAACCTCTACCTTTCCTTTCTTTGACTTTGTATGTATGTATGTATGTATGTATGTATGTATGTATGTATGTATGCATGTATGTATGTATGTATGTATGTATGTATGTATGTATGTATGTATGTATGTATGTATGTATGTATGTATGTATGTATGTATGTATGTATGTATGTATGTATGTATGTATGTATGTATGTATGTATGTATGTATGTATGTATGTATGTATGTATGTATGTATGTATGTATGTATGTATGTATGTATGTATGTATGTATGTATGTATGTATGTATGTATGTATGTATGTATGTATGTATGTATGTATGTATGTATGTATGTATGTATATATGTGTATTTTTGTTTGTATATACCATCATATTGTTGCTAATAAACATGTATATTTAAATTCGTGACACCAAATAACCACATATAATTAAAATTAATTTTTAATAAATTGTGCTAGAAAGAAAAATGGAGAGAGAGAGAGAGAGAGAGAGAGAGAGAGAGGGAAAGAGGCAGAATGAAAGAAAAAAAGGAGAAGGAGAGAATGAGAAAAAGACAAAGAAAGACAAAAAGAGAGAGAGAGAAAGAGAAAAAGAGAAGAAGAGAGAGAGAAGAATCCAAAGAAGAAAGTCAAGTCTCCGACGTAAAAGTTGCTATTATACGTTCTTCCTTTTGAGTTGCGTAATTAGAGGGATGCATTTGATGTTGTTGTTGCTGCTATGATTGTTGTTGGTGTTGTTGATGTCTCTGCTGTGCAGTTGTTGTTTTTGTTGTCGTTGTTGTTGTTGTTGTGTATTTTTGATGTTGTCGTTATAATAACAACCAATTTGTTAGCATTGATATTTCAATTTTCAGGTTTTGAATATTGTAGTTGAAATTTCTAAAGTATATTCATACAAGTATATATTTGTTCTCATGTGTACACACATACAAACAAACAAACACTGTTGTATTTGTACACTACTCAAATACAAATATTTTTGCGTACACATACACTGTTCTACACAGACCTACATTTGTTATACGCACAAACATCTTTGTACACACATATATACCATTGCATTTCTGTATTTTTTTTTTATTGATTTTCTATGGCTTTGATCATATCAGCATCTCAGAAATTTGTCTTCAGCCGATATTGTAAGGATATTTGAATGTTTCAGTTCGTCTGTGTACTTTATCTGTGTTTGTGTGTGTGTACGTGTGTGTGTGTGTGTCTGTGTTTGTGTGTGTGTACGTGTGTGTGTGTGTGTGTGTGTGTGTGTGTGTGTGTGTGTGTGTGTGTGTGTATGGTGTGTATGTGTGTGTGTTTGGTAGTTTTTGTGTGTGTGTATGAGTTTACGTGTGAATATATGTTGTAGTATTATTATTACAGTGTATACTTCTCGTGTTTCTACCTATATATTGTACAATCTTTATTACAGTGTGTTCTTCTTTTTTTATTCCACGGAATATTTTTAGCACAAATAAAAAATTATATCAAAAGAAGAAAAGTATTAATATTAATTTTATAAAAATAATAAAGAAAAATGAAAAATTACTTTGACGGCAAATATAACAAAACAGAAACCCCAGCGAAAAATAGATTGAATGGGCAAATATGAGAAATTGTTGTGTGCACTTTTGAAATGCATGCTGCTTCTATTGTTCGCCGTGTGATGAATGTATCAACTGTATCAACTGTATCAACGTGTATCAGCTGTATCAACACGTGTATCAACTGTATCAACGTGTATCAACTGGATAATTTTCTATCTCATTGCATCATATCATATAACATTTTATATAACACTGATTTATAAATATTGTAAATATTTTATGCTTATAATGTTGTTAGAATAGAATTTTTTAATTTTTTTTAATTTCATTTTCGAAAAAACTTTTTTGAAGGTATGTAACTTGGGATCTCCGGTCATAAAAATATTTAAAAATTAAATAAAAATAAATAAAATGATTTCCGTTGTTTGAAAAAAAAAAACAAAATTTTTTAAACACTCGAAAAAGAATCTGTTTTGATGCTTTTTATAACCTGCAATTTATGAGATCACCGAGATAAAAACCTTCAAAAAAGTCAAAAATTGTAATTTATTCTGAAGTTTCGTATTTTTTTCTTTGAAGGTATTTATGACCGGAGCTTCCCCAAGTCACATCCATCTGATAAAACAACTCGTGTCGCCGTCGTCGTCGTCGTTTTTGAAGCTGTCGCGAGAGTGGTATCGAGTCCAGTGCAGTCTGCCTACTGTACAACAAAAAATCACTTCGCCACTACATAAACATTTTAAATATTTTATTGCAAAAAGAGTGTATCAATTTGTTGATGTGTTGACTTGTAGCGATATCACACTTGCAAACACGTCATCCATCAGTGCGTTGGGTCGGCAACATCTTCAGACCACTAATACATCAACAGTGTCAGTGAAAGAAATGATACATTTTGTCACACCGAATCAGTATAGTTTTTAGCTAAAACATTCAAGAAGAACAAACACAGAATGAAGCTCCCAGTCGTCAGCTCTATAATGGAGAAGGGCTTCTTAGCCGACCTCAATGAAAGAATTCAAAATCCAGAATCGCAACGTTGTTTGGTGCTGGTCATCGTCTGCATAGCCCTCCTTCTGGACAACATGCTCTATATGGTCATCGTCCCCATCATCCCTATCTACCTGGACGAAATGAAGGCAGACGAGTTGGCTGCCCAGTTGAATGCTCTGTCGAGTACATCGAACGAAGCCCTGGCAGACCAACAGTTCATCTACAACAACAACGTCGATAAAAATAACGACATCAATCAACTACTCTTGCAAACAACACCTGCTCCAAATGCCAAAAACAAAAGTTTTAAACAAAAGAATGGCGGGAAAACGAAAATGAAATGGAGGCGTAGAACAACTCCAAACCCTTTCAACTCATCATATTACAACGATACTTTCTTGTCGCAGAAGAATTTAGTTGGAAAAACTGTTCCGATTCTGGTGAAATATTCTGGAGATGAAAGCACCGACGCGAGAGTTGGCATACTCTTCGCTTCGAAGGCTCTCGTGCAGTTGTTCATCAGTCCAATTAGTGGGACAGTCATTGACAGGATAGGTTATGAAACGCCTATGATAATTGGATTGTCCATTATTTTCTTTTCAACAACCATCTTTGCATTTGGAAGAAGTTACGCGCTGTTGTTCATAGCTCGAAGTCTGCAAGGAGTAGGTTCAGCTTTCGCCGATACCTCAGGCCTGGCGATGATAGCTGATCGTTATAAAGAAAATGCTGCTCGTTCGAAGGCGCAAGGCATTGCTTTGGCTTTCATTAGTTTTGGCTGTCTCTTTGCTCCTCCGTTTGGTGGATTTTTTTACAAGTACGCAGGGAAGGCGGTCCCGTTTTTACTGCTGTCTTTAATTGCTCTAGCAGATGGTGTGATGTTGAAACTTGTCTCCAAACCAGCAAAGAAAAAAGAGAAACAGACTCTATGCGACAATGGTTTAGAGAAGAAAGGAACTCCTATTTATAAGCTCATTTTAGACCCATACATTGCTCTTTGTGCTGGTGCACTCGTCATGGCGAACGTGTCACTAGCTTTCTTGGAACCTACGATAGCACGCTGGATGAAAGAAACTATGAAAGCAGATGAGTTTCAAATTGGCGTCGTTTGGCTTCCACCATTCATTCCACATGTTTTAGGAGTTTACGTAACAGTAAGGCTGGCTAAACTCTACCCGAAACATCAGTGGCTGATAACTGCTGTGGGGCTTTCGTTGGAAGGAATAAGTTGCTTAATCATTCCATTCTGCTCCAACTTTAAAATGGTCATTCTCCCACTGATGATTGACTGTTTTGGAATTGCTTTAGTGGACACGGCCATTCTTCCGTCTCTGGCTTATTTGGTGGACCACAGGCACGTTTCAGTGTACGGCAGTGTCTACGCCATAGCTGACATCTCTTATTCGTTGGCGTATGCATTTGGTCCAATTTTAGCTGATGAAATCTATCAAAAAATTGGATTTTTCTGGTTAAACTTTGGAATATTTTTAAGCAACGTGCTCTACGCACCTCTGTTGATTTTTCTGAAAAACGTTTACAAGTACAATGAATTTGAAGCTGAAGAAGACGAAGGTTACGTTGGTGAAGATGGTGGCGCTAAAACTCTCTACCAGGCAATACCGCAACAGACTGATGTTATATCAATCAAAAGATTGGACAACAACAGAGGAAGCACATTCGATCAACAGCCAGCCCACCAGATCCTCACCTACGTATCCAGTAAGGACGGTGCCACCGTCCCAAGCACGCAGACGATCGTCATGCCACAAAATAACAACGCCGAGTTTGATTTCAATAGGATGAACCATAGTGCAAAATCACTCGCAGATGAAAGTTTACGTCACAAACAACAACAACAACAGCAAAGTCCTCCTCTCCCTCAACAACAACAACTACGACAACGAGTCGATCCACAGCAAGTTAGAAACCCATTCAAGACCAACAACAACAACAATGACAATGACATTCTTTCTTCAAATGTCGCTCACAAAGTCAACCCCTTCTCCAAACATGATTTTTGAAACTGTAGATAAAAAAATTTAAAATAAATAAACATTATATATTTAATTGTTGTTTTTAGCATGTAGAATTTGAATTGATTTACAATAATGTGAATTTACGTGTTTATATAGAGATATATTAGGTGTAATAATTTTATTACCGTCATATATTCAGTATATACATACACTAGTTAGAAAATTCTCTACTAAAACACTTTCATACTCCTATGAAACTTATTTCAGCTTATGAAACTTTTAAACAGCGAGCAATTTAATTATATTAATATCCAAAATGATATAAGGATGATAGCCTGGTTAAAAAAGTTTGACGTTAAATAGATTTTTTTCCAAGAACTTACATTGCAAACTGCTTACAATCACTTATTCAGCCTTCTATAGCAGTTAATTTCACTGCACGGCTATTATCTCTCGGTGATACATTAGTAGCTAAGCAGTGCTCAAGATATCAATTTTGGAAGTATCAAACCGCCAGAAGTAGATTGTAACTTTTTATTTTAATGTTCATTATAGATGTGTCGTGTCGTGTTCATTTCAGAATTTGTTGCAGCTTATTAAATGTAAAGATTTATAGCATTTTGTAAAAAAAAATTCAATTAACAATCTAAGTTAAATGCAAATTGCTCGAATGATAATGCTAGCAAGATATAAGATGCTTAATATAGAATTCATTTCTATATGAGCAAACACTCGATATTGTGAAAATATTGTCGCAAGCATTGGGGGGGCTTTGATATGTGATAGGCCTATATGTAACACGGAATACTTTTTAACGGGTTAAAACAAAACTAATGTTTGGTTAATTGTAATTATTATAGCCGGGTTTATTAGGAAAATTAAATTTTAGTAAAATGTAAACCCTGTAATGTGTTTTACATTTTTTGACTTTTTAGATACTCAAATATCAAACAAAATTTTTAACGAAATCACACTGCAATATATCAAACAGTTCGGCCATAGTAAAAATTATTATTTACTTCCAGATGAAGATTAAACTTAGACACAAAAAATGTAAAAAAAAGTACGGACAATTCAGCCTTCAAAAATCGCCACACCAAACCAAAAACCAAAAAAATTATTTCAACATCTGTCAGAGGCCATATAAATATTTACACAAATATTTATTGATAATTTTCACACGGCATATTTTAACTTAAGTTTACTTTTTTCGTGTTATTGATTGATAAAAATTCAACAGCTAACAATAACAATAATATCGTCAATAACAGTAACAAAAATAACAATAATAATAATTCCTACCCCGACGTAATCTATCAATGAATTGCAAGAAATTTTTTCTAAAATGAATAATAATAAAATATTATAACATTTTAAAAATAATAATAATAGCAATAATAATAATAACAATAAAGAATAATAATAATAATAAGGTCAAAACGATTCGTTCAAATTAAATGAAATCTGGTACATGATAAAAATACGAATAGAATTTTTTTTTTTCTAATTTAAATCATGCAAATCGTTATTTAATAAAATCATTAAATAAAATTATATTAATAATAATAATAACAATAATTATTATTATTTTTATTATTATTATTTTCGTCCGTCAGAAAGTTTCCTCTAAACAAATAATCACATCAATAACAATAAAAATCGATAATCATGATTAGTATTATTATTTTAAAATGCGCTATTATTATTATTATTATTTCTATTATTTATAATTATTATTTCTATTATTCACAAATAATATTATCATCGCGTTTTCTGAAGTTGTTGATCATGAATTAAAATTAAAACGATGTTTAATGTATGTCAGTTTCTTCGAGCAAGCGATTCCTGCTATTATTGTCATTATTATTATTAATATTAATATTTATAATAATAATGTGAGGAATAAAATTATGATAAAGCATGAAACACTTTAAAGAAAATTGCTTTGAAATTGACGTTCATGTATCAATTGTTCAATTGTACAATAATTCAATTATTGTATATGGTTATTAACAATACCCCATTCCAATTTTGTACCGACAATTTTGATAGCAGTACCGGCTTTAAAATGTATTGCCTATACCAATAACGATACTCATCTATTTGTAGTATTGCCAACAATACCAATACCTTTATATTTAAAAGCGGTGCTACCAGCTAACAACTGAAATGTCATACATTATAACGCGTTCTGTGGTTTAATGTATAACATGGAAAATGAATTCATAACGATAAATTCTTTGAATCAGCTGACTGAATGAGTTTTTAAAAACCAACAAGAAGAAGCGCTAAACTTTGAAATTTGAGATAATCATTCGTATATTCACTTGACGCTCAAAAGCATCGGCATCGAGTATTGATTTTTTCTGTCTGAAAAGTATCGGCGATATCAAGTAGTTCGATACTCGGTATCAAAGGTACTGTCGATGAATAAGTTTCACCGATGGCCATATTCCGGCAGTAACAACCCTGTATATATATATATACTATTAATATTATTGTTATTAATTATACGCTATACACACACACACACACACATATATATATATATATATATATATATATAATTATTATTATAAATAATTATTATCACTATTAATATTATTGTTATTAATTATACGCTATACACACACACACACACACACATATATATATATATATATATATATATATATAGAGAGAGAGAGAGAGAGAGAGAGAGAGAATATTGTATGAATTCTACCGAATTGTTGGCATTAATCAATCATCATTTTCTTGTTCTTCATTGTCATTAAAGTTGGTAATGACGTAATCATTCTTTGTTGGGTGTTTGTTTGGGGTTTGTTGACGTCTAGTTCATTTTTGAAGGTAGCAGCTATTTCGAATCTCTTCCATTCCTCTAGTAGGTTATTCAGCGTAGCTGATGTATGTTGAACTCTATTTTCTTTTGACTCTAACACTCGGGAAAGATGAAAATGAAGCAATCGACGCTTTCCGTTCTGGTTTGGTTGTCAGGTTTCGTCGGTCGGTCAGTATATCCCAAATAAACATCCAACAAAGAATGATAACATCATTACCGACTAAAATCAATAACAATAAAGAACAAGAAAGGAACAACAACAAAGAAGATGATGAATACGACTCCAACTAAGTAACCCACCTTTGCTAAGTTAAGTAACTAACTTTGCTTTGTCGTTATAAACTATATAAACCAAACCTGCACTGAAGATGATTTGTGAAAAATTGAAATTAGGCCTATCTACACGATGAATTTGGATTACAACAGTTTTATAGTTTTATTAAATTTTCTAAATGAACTTGGATAATAACTATATTTTCATTAAATCGAACAATTTCCTGGAACTTCTTGTTATGAAAATTGAAAAAGATAAACCTTAAATTGATTTAATGCCAACAATTCGGCAGAATTCATACAATACTGTATAAAATATGGTCTCCTTCCAACATATATATATATATATATATATACATTTATATATATATTTATATATAAGTATATATATAATATATAGATACGTTATATACATTATATATATATATATATAAATTTGTTGTTCTTTCACATTTTTATGATTAATTAGTCCATACGCCGTGGCTTTCACATTATATGTAAATAAAACAGTTGAACAATCTTTGTTTTTCGTTACGTCATAACAACAAGAATTATAACAAAATAATATGAATTATAATAATGTTTATAGCAATAATAATCATAATAATTATAATAATAATAATTATGGTTGAAATGATATTTTGTTGTGTTAGTTTAAATTGTAAGATCCTTTTAAAAATTGTATCTATTTATTATTATTATCGTCATTATCGTTATTAATATAATTATTATTATTATGTTTATTATTAATAATATTATTATTATTATTGTTTATTATTTATGCTTTTTTTTATCTATCGCATAGTTATAGTTGTAAGAGGCAAAAACATTGTGACAAAGAGTGTTGAAACCGTATTTTTGCTTTAAACATATTATTTTTATTTTAATTAACTAGATATTAACAATAATAAAAATAATAATGATGACTATGATTATGAGTATATATTACTTTTATCATTGTTGTTGTTATTATTCTCATTTTATTATAATAAAATGAACTGTTCTTTTCATTGGTGACATGCAATTGCTTCTGTTTTAGATATCTTTTTGTTTAATTAAATAATAGATCAAATATATTAATAAATTTAATAAAAAGAAATGTATTTATGTGTATACATTATGTGTATATGTTGTGTGTGTTAGTGTGTATGTATGTATGTGTGAACGTGTGTATGTATTAAGATGTTTATGATGACGATGATGACGATGACGATGATGATGATGACGATGGTGGTGGTGGTGGTGGTGATGATAATGAAGATGATATGATGCCGATGATGATGACCATGGTGATTGAAACATATAATATTTATTTATTAGTCTGTTCAATTTCAGGATGAACATTGGAAAAAATAATGACATTACGCACGATTTTGTGTTATATTTATGCCGGAAATTATTTTATCTTTGGTGGAATTAAAAAAATTTTCCTTTATATAGCGCATAAATTAGAAAAAAAAGATAAATATATACGATGGCGATATTAATCAACTTTTATACATATACAAACACACATACATATATACATACATACATACATACATACATACATACATACATACATCCATACATACATACATACATCCATACATACACACATACATACATACATACATACATCCATACATACATACATACATACATACATAAATACATACATACATACATACACACACATTAAAATAGATTGGATTGGCTGCTAGATCGGTCAGTCAATTCTAAAATGTTTGCTATGTGGACGGCTGAATTGGTTGCTGCAGCCGTTATGGTAACGCCTACCAACCGCAAATATGTTTGCGCATGTTGCCTTGTTTGTGCGTGTGCGTGTGCTTGTTTGTATATTTGTATGTGTGTATACATATGTATGTGTGTATTCATATGTATGTGTATATACATATGCATGTATGGGCGTTTGTGTATGTAATGTATGTTTATTCATACATATGTATTTATGAGATGTTTTTTTTTTGGTTAAACATTTAAAGGTTTCATGTGTTTGACTGTGTATGTGTGTCATATGTGTTTTAATTACTTGTGTTTGTTTGTTTGTATGTATGTTTGTATGCATGTGCGTGTGACGTGTCTTTGTTTGTTTGTATGTATATGTGTGTGTGGTGTGTGTTTGTTTGTGTGCGTAAGGCTGTGTGCAATTGTGAGGAAACAATGAACGTTTCATAAACTAATCTAAATAATTACGGACATGTATGAGTGTGTTTTCTTCTCTCATGTTTGAGAACGCCTGCTATCTCCTCTGTTACACACAATCAATCCAATGCATTTTCTCGTGATAACATCTCTACCATTCCCTACGTAGTCCCCTTCATGTTCCTCCACTGATTGCATCAAACATATGCTGCTACTTAAAAAAATACAATACAATAGAGTTTGATTTGTACAAACAATTAAAGTCATTAATACAAAATTTTGTATGCACCAACATACGAATGTACAATCAAGTAAGTGTGTGTGTGTATGTGTGTGTGTGTATGTCTGTGTGTGTGTGTTTGTGTGTGTTTGTGCAGTATCTGCAATACAGATTTGATTGAATATAATGCAAATTTAATGATTTTTTTTAAATATATTTTATTTGAAATCATTTATACGTAACTTAGCATGAACGCGTCAATATAAAATGGTATAAACTCTCATTTGATAATATTGGACAGAACGTACTATGATATAAACCAGCGCACGTGACCAATTTACCAGTCCGAATTTTAATTCCCTCCCTCCATTCCTCTTCCTTTTCCGTCTCTTCTTTTCTCTCTCTCTCTCTCTCTCTCTCTCTCTCTCATTTTTTAACTTATTCACTATCACTTTTCCTAATGATAATTACTTCGTTCATTCAACCATTTATTAATTTATTTATTTTATACTGAACATTAAAACTCATGCAAAGAACACACACACGTACATACTACATACACACTCATGTAAAGAACACACACGTACATACACACACATATACACACACACATATACACACACACAGAAACACACACAGAGACACATAAAGAGCAGCAAATGTCGCTTCGAAGTAGGCAGACGCCACCACCAGTGCCTCCGCCACCAACATCATCATCGCCATTGAGGGGGGCACGGTTGATGACGTACAGAGCAGCCAGAGAGAAAAACCACCCCGTACGTTTGTACCTGGATAGGGTATCCTCCCAGGATATCATTGAGTATCCGGAATGGGATTTGACGGTAGGATGATGGTGAGGATGGCTACGATGATGGGGGTGATGATGGTGGTTATGTTTTTGATGATTAAGATCATGATAAAGATGGTGAAAATAATGATGGTGATGATGAAGAAGAATGCAAACTGTACATCGTACATCGGCCAGCAGCGGTTAGTGGACCGGCAACTCATCGTACAACGTCAGTTGGTCGATAGCTGGCTAATATTTATTTGTTCTTATTCTCATGTATGTAAACATTCAAAATAAACATGAACGTGTAAACAAAAGGACATGTAAACACACGTGTAAACAGATAGGAGAAGAGCAGCCATGTAAACAAAAAAAACTCACATTATCATTCACGCACAACGATGGCGCACTGCCTGCCCCGACCATGCTTATGTAGGAAAGATGGGGATGGAGATGATAAAGATGAAGATAAGGATGACGACGACGACGACGATGATGATGACGATTAAGATGATGATGGTGATGATGATGATGATGATGATGGTGATGACGATTAAGATGATGATGGTGATGATGATGATGATGATGATGGTGATGACGATTAAGATGATGATGGTGGTAATGATGATGATGGTGATGACGATTAAGATGAGGATGATGGTGATTATGGTGATGATGATGACTATTAAGATGATGATGATGGTGATTATGGTGAGGATGATAATGATGATGATTATGATGATGATGGTGATGATGACGACGACAGCACATTGTTATGTCAAAGATCTATAAAGAACACTTGCTAATATTCCCTTCAAATTTCTTCATTGCACTTGTAAGGCAATCGATGAAACTTTGAAAAAAATTCACACCCACACTTACACACACACACACACGCACACTCACACTCAAACATACACCCGTACACACACACGTATACACACACGCACACTCAAACATACACAAACATTCACACGCACAAACATCGATAAGTTTAAGATTATTCTCTCTGAACATGGAATTGCTCCGGGGAGCAAATAGAAATTACGTATCCAACATGAATTTTTCTATGTACAAACAAAGGAAGAACAATTTATGAACATGTGTGACTCAATGTGAACGACTAAATAAATAAATTTGTGAGTGTGTGTGTGTTTGTGTGTGTGTTTGTGTGAGTAAGTGAGTGAGTGAGTGAGTGAGTGAGTGAGTGAGTGAGTGAGTGAGTGAGTGAGTGAGTGAGTGAGTGAGTGAGTGAGTGAGTGAGTGAGTGAGTGAGTGAGTGAGTGAGTGAGTGAGCGAGCGAGCGAGCGAGCGAGTGAAAGTGTGCGTGCAAACAAACATTATACGATTTTCGTCAAGCAGAGTAGTAACGAAAAAATAAAACAAAGAATGACTGAAGATAATGCCCAATAAAAATAGCATCCACATTAAAACACTCGAACAACAATTCAACAAAACCACAACCCAACAACAACAACAAATTACACCCCCCGTCCCTAGAAACCTCTTCCCAAACTGCCAGTTCCCCCACTGAGAGACACCCTAACGAAATATTTGGACAGCATCAGGGCAACTGTTACTGATAAACAATATGAAAAAACGCAGGTGGGAAACTTTATTTTGTGCGTGTCATGTCAATTTTCACGTTATTACCATCGTCACCGTCATAAGTTGATAAACACAATTCGTTAAATGGCTTCAAATGTGTGTCTGGCCAAAATTTGGTCACAGTCAGACATGTTGAAGAGCGTTTGAAATGAACACGGATTTTCATTCAAAATTGACTGGAAGAAAGTAGTTTGATGTTATTGATGTTTGCGCTATACAAATTTTTATACTATCATCATCAACACATCAGCACTATGTCATCATTATCAGTACATCATCACCATCATTATCATCATCATCATCCATATCATCACCATCATCATCATCATCAGGAGATTGTGAAGGAATTCGGCAGTCCGGGTGGTCTGGGGGAATTCTTGCAGAAGAAACTTCTGGAACATGCTGAGATGCAGGATAACTGGGTGGGGATGATGATGATGATGATGATGATGATGATGATGGAGGTGATGATGATGATGATGTTTGAAATGATGCGATAACTACAACGTCTTCCTCATTTCCACCAAAAACATTAACAACAACATCAGCATTAACAACATCAGCATAAACAACAACAACATCAACAACAACATCAACAACAACATCAACCAACACGTCAACAACAACATCAAAAACCAACATCACAACCAACATAACCAAATTAATTATCCACAACATCAGCAACAACATCAACAACAACACCAACAACAACAACATCATCATCAACAACAACAAAAACAACAGGTTTATCAGTTCTGGCTTGATGACATGTACATGAAAGTCAGACTAGCACTCCCCATCAACTCCAATCCAGGCATGGTCTTTCCCAAACAAAATTTCAACGATCAGAATGAACAACTGAGGTAGATTTGAGCGATTGATTAATTAATTGATAAGTTGACTGATTGGTCAGTTGACTGATTGGTCAGTTGACTGATTGGCTAGCTGACTGATTGGCTAGTTGACTAATTGGTTGATTGGCTGATTAGTTAGCTCTTTGACTAATGAGAAACTTATTAATTAATTGATAGCCTATTTTACGAAAATACTAATTGAATGATTAATTGACTGATATACCAATTGGTTAATTAATACCAATTGGTTAATTAACTAGTTAATTGATTAATTTTAACTCAATTAAAGGCGAATAATTTTGTTTCATCATTAAGATACGCGGCTAGGTTTATATCGGGAATCTTAGACTACAAAGTCATCATCGACTCGTGAGTAAGAAATGAGATCAAACAATCAATCAATCACAAAAAACAAAGCAACAAATTCATAAAAACAAACAACATCAATTCACCAACAACAACAAATCCTTACATCAAAACAACAACAACATCAACATCAAATCAACCACATCAACAACATCAAATCAACCACAACAACAACATTAAATCAATAACAACACCAACAACATCAAATCAACAAGAGCAACAATAACAACAACATCGAAACAACAACATTTTTTTTTAAATTCTAACCAATCACAACCAGGCATCTACTTCCGATAGACAGGGCAAGGTCACGAGAAAAAGGCCAACCACTATGCATGGAACAGTATTATAGACTGTTCACGTCATACAGGTTGGTAAATAATAATGATACAGGTATCATGATACAGTATCACAACACTGAAACAAACTAACAGCCCATGCATCATTATACAGTATGATAACATTGAAACAAACTAACAATCAATGTATCATGATACAGTATGATAACGTTGAAACAAATTAACAATCCATGTATCATGATACAATATCATAGTACTAAAACCAAATAAGGACAGAGGTATCACGATGCAGTATCGTAACATTAGAAACAATCTAACAATCCAGGTATCCAGGTGTGGGTAAGGATTGTCTGGTGACGTCACAAGCTCAGCAGCAAGTCCACGAGAATGAGCACATAATAGTTGTGTACCGTGGACAGGTCAGTTGATGGTGAAGCTGCTGCTGCTGCTACTGCTGCTGCTACTGCTGCTGCTGATAATTATGATTATCGTAAGCACGACACATATACCAAGACAACTAAACGAGCAATCTGCTGACAAAAACCAAAATTGTGTAAACAAACCAAGAGTACTATAAAAATATCGAAGTCACACACATAAACACACACAACAACAAAGAAACAAACAAGCAACAAAGATACACAGCAACACACACCCCACACATACACACAACACACACACGCACACACACATGCACACACACATGCACACATGCACACACGCACACACACGCACAACAAATGCAGCTTTTCGCGCTTGATGTGGTTTGCAATTCAATTCGCCTGAGTGATGACAACATCTACAGTCAGCTGAAAAGATGCGTCAGAATGGCCCAAGAGGAAATAGATAATCATCTACGTAACTACGGTAACAAACCACTTCCGGTTGGCATAATGACGTCAGCGAGTAGGGATGTGTGGGCTGCTGTGAGGAGGACTATGGCGGAGAGTTTGTTTATTTTATTTTCTTATTTATTTGGTTGTTCTTGGTTACTCGCCTTTGCGTTTTTTGTGTTTCACTTAATTTTTTATTTTAATTTGTAAAATAAATAATTTAATGAGATTCTTCTACTTCCTTTTTTTCGTGCCTCATGCTGTCAGGACATTGGCGACCATCGACCTCCACAAAAACTGATTTTTAACACTTTGTCGTAGTTGAAATGTGGTGATATTGAACAAGTGACACAAGGACTTCACGAATGTTACTCGTTGTTGACTGCGATCTCTTCTTGCAATGCAATCTTTCCAGTAGTTGTTAGATTTTCCATTCTTTCCTTCCGCATGATGTGACCCAAAAACTTTAACTGACCCCGTCGGATTATCTATGGTAATTTCTTTTCATAACTGGACTGTATCAGAAGTTTCTTTTATCAAATGCTTCAATTCGCTGCTACATCAACCATTTTTGTTTTTTATTATCCATCCATCCATCAATCAATTTATCCATTCATTCATTCATTCATTCATTTATCCATCAATCCATTCATCCATTCATTTCGTTAGATCCAACGAACCAATCGTACATGGCTGAAATTGAAAGCTGCATGTTCGTCGTCTGCCTCGATGATAAGTTCGCTGAGCAGGGCGGAACCCCAGGCTCAAGGTCATTATCGTACGCTATTCGTCACATTATCAAAATCTATTCACCACATTATCATAATTAATTCATCGCATTATCATAATTCATTCATCACATTCATCATAATTCATTCATCGCATTATCATAATCTATTCATCGCAATATTATAATCTATTCATCGCGTTATCATAATTCATTCATCACATTATCATAATTCATGCATCACAATATCATATTTAATCGCGTTGTTATAATCTATTCATCACATTATCATAATTTATTTATAATAATACTAATAATAAGGAGTGACGTGAGCATGGCGAATCAGATGATACACGGATTAGGCAGTCAGTTTAACAGCGTCAATAGGTGGTTTGAGAAAACTATGCAGGTAGGTAGGGAGGGTTGTTGGGCTATGTAATTATCATAATTTATTCATATTTTATCATTTTACATTGTATTTTTTTATTATTTATTTAGTAATTATTAATTACATTTCTTTACATAGTGGATGAATTAAAAAGAGCACAAACATGAGTAACTTGTGGTTAATCATTGAAACGTTCTATTTTAAGTTTTAATCAATCAATCAATCAATCAATCAATCAATCAATCAATCAATCAATCAATCAATCAATCAATCAACCAACCAATCAATCAATCAATCAGTCAATCAATCAGTCAATCAATCAGTCAATCAATCAACCAATCAATCAATCAATCAACCAATCATGCAGTTTATAATAGCAGAGGATGGTGCGTGTGGTCTGTGCTACGAACATTCAGCAGCTGAAGGCATTGCCGTAGTACAACTAATAGAACATTTGCTTGCTTATATGTTTGTGTTTGTTTGTGTGTTTGTTTGTGTGTGTTTGTGTATCTGTGGTTGGCTGCTTGATTGGTTATCCGCATGAAGGTGATGGTCGACATGTTTGTGTGGTCGGTCGTGAACGAACATTGGGATGCTTTCATCGTCGTCGTCGTCATCATTACCATCAACACCATCCCATACATTATTATCATTATCACCATCAATGTCATCATCATCATCATCATCGCCATCACCAGGGATGAGCTACAACGCCGGAAGTTGACCCGGATGCAGTCCATGTGTGACCTCGTTCCACCACGTCATCTCAAATGGGAAATTTCCAATGACGTCATGGAGAAGATAAAAATAGCAGCCAATGAACTCGATAGGTTTTTGTGTCTATATATTTTTTTTATGATTTTACCGAACTATCATTTATCATTTTGACGTTGGCTGAGGTTGGTGACATCATTATATTTGTGCGGTCGTCATCAGCATTACGATGCTTTCATCATCATCATCATCGTCATCATCATCATCATCGTCATCATCATCATCATCGTCATCATCGTCGTCGTCGTCATCATCATCGTCATCATCATCGTTATCGTCATCGCCAACATGAAAATTCCTTACAGATCTATAAATAACTTGGACCTCTACGTACTCAGGTACGAAGGGTACGGTAAGGAGTTCCCCAAAAGTCAAAACATGAGCCCTGACGCCTACATCCAGATTGCCCTCCAGCTGGCCCACTACAAGTCATGATGATGATGGTGATGATGATGATGATGATGATGCGATGATGATGATGATGATGGTGATGATGATGAGGATGAGTATAATGAGGATGATGATGATAACGAGATGACGATGACGATGATGTTTATAAAAATAATGATCTTTAAAAAAGAAGAATGTGAATAGCACCTGCCACGTTTAATAATAGCAAAACAATCATTCACCAAACTATCATCATCACCACCACTATCATCATCATCATCATCATCACCCCACCATCATCATCACCACCACGACAGAATCCACCAAAAACTCGTCTCAACGTATGAGAGTGCTTCGATACGTAGGTACAGAGAGGGTCGGGTAGACAACATCAGGGCGTGTTCGGTGGAGGCGTTGCGCTGGTGCGAAGCCATGGTGCATGGGGATAAAATCGATGTTGGTTTAGTTGTCTGATTGGTTGGTTGGTTAGTCGGTCGGTCTGTCGGTCGGTCGGTCGGTCGGTCGGTCGGTCGGTCGGTCGGTCGGTCGGTCGGTCGGTCGGTCGGTCGGTCGGTCGGTTGGTTGGTTGGTTGGTTGGTTGTTTGGTTGGTTGGTTAGTCGGTTGGTTGGTTGATTGATTGACTAGCTAATATTAATTGTTTCTGATTGGCTGGTTGACTGACTGATTGATTCTGATTGGTTGGTCGGTTGATTGATTGATTTATTGATTGATTTTGGTTGGTTGATTGACTGATTCATGATTCTGAATGGTTGGTCGGTCGGTTGGTTGACTGATTGATTTTGATTGGTTGGTTGACTTATTGATTGATTGGTTGATTGAATCTGGTCAATAAATAAATGGCTGGCAATATGTAATAATAACAATAATAATAATAATAAATAATGAAAATAATTTCACATGTTTGGTATGCAGGCAGGTACGAAAATATCATTATTACGAAATGCCGTCAAGAAACAAACAGATATCATGGTCCAGGTAATGTTATTATTGTTGTTGTTATTCTTGTTGTTGTTGTTGTTATTGTTGTTATTGTCGTTGTTGTTGTTATTGTCGTTGCTGTTGTTGTTGTTGTCGTTGTTGCTGTTGTTTCGATGATGTTGTTGTTGTTTTTGTTTGTAGTTACGATTGAATTCAACCATCCAAACCATTCAACCAACCATGTTACCAAACAATCAACTAACCAGCCAAAAAAAATCTACAAAAGGCGATATTAGGATACGGCATAGACAATCACATGTTGGGATTGCGACAGATAGCAGAAGATACGAACATCCCTACTCCAAAGATCTTTGCTGACGTCACGTACAAGCAGTCCAATCATTTTGCTCTATCCACCAGTCAAGTAGTTATCTTTTGTCTTTGTTGTTGTTGTTGCTTTTGTTGTTGTTGCTTTAGTTGTTGTTGTTGCTGCTGCTTTTGTTGTTGTTGTTGTTGTTGCTTTTGTTGTTGTTGTTGTTGTTGTTATGTTATTTTTGTCATCATCGCTAATTTACCATCACCGTTCATTCATCATCGTCCTCATCTGCACCATCATCCTTATTACTCTCCTCATCTTCACCATCTTCTTCATCATCACCTGACAACCAGGTACCGACCACGATGGACGCGTTCATGTGCTACGGCCCTGTGGTGCCCGACGGCTATGGGGCCTGCTACAACCCCCACACCTCCTCCATACTCGTCTGCCTCTCATCATTCAGAGAATCCTCCACCACTGATTCTAGAACATTCGCCATGGCGCTTGCTCAGACGTTCGACGAGATGAAGCAACTCTGTCTGGCTGCCTCCTCATCAGTGACGTCATCGTCCTCGCTGGTGTCTGCAGCCAATCAAAAATGAGAGAGTGAGATGCTCCATTCAAGGTTTTTGGGGAGGATGATCCTGACGATGATGATCCTGACAATTATGATAATAATGATGATGTAGATGATGACGAATGAGTATTGAATGAAACTATCTTAAACTTTTAGGCAAATTGATAGAAATATATATATATATATATATATATATATATATATATACATATACATATATACATATATATATATATATATACATATACATATATACATATATATATATATATATATCACATAGAAATTTATCATTTTATATTTTTGTGCTGTTTATTTATTTTAATTAACATTTCTTTCATCTTATTTGTTTGAAAATATGACTCCAAATTAAAATTTTTCGGGGTATTCCAGAAGGGGCGAAACCAAGTGGTTGTGTCTCGACTGCCAAATAAAGGTCATTAACATATTTAAAATCCCCTCCCAAAAGGTCAAGGCCATCACTTTTGAATTTTGAAAATTACCCCTTAACTCTTTTACTGGGTACGTCACTGTGGCCCCGGCTTTAATTTGATGTCTTCAAAATGTCATGGTGATTTGTTGGACCTGCAGATGTTGATTAAAAAATTTAATTTTTGCAAATTCGGTCTATTGGCTCTACTCCTCTTTCATATCTATGCTTTTTCGGTATCCTTGTTAAATTTATTATTATTGTTATCATTTATCATTTGAAGTAACACGCAAACACGCACACACACAGCACACACACATACACATACACAGCACACACACATACACAGCACACACACAACATACACACACACATAACACACATTTATTTATTTTTACACGTAGGTATATACTTATAACGTAACAAACAAAACCATAGCTTGTTTCAAGCAGTTCAATATTTCGTTTGATTAAATCACTTGTTGGTTTTTTCATTTCAGTTTTCTTCAAGTGTATTTGGTTTGGATAGATTTGTAAAAAAATTTTAAATCCGATTGTAATGAACATGAACTGGTTTATACTGGGACAGTTTATTTAGTAATGAAATCATTATATTTTATATTTATTTATTTATTCATTAAATAATTTATTTGCTCGTTCACTCATTCATTCGTTCATTCATTCATTCATCCATTAAACCATTCCTTCATTTTTTATTGGTTGTCGATGGTTCACACATTAACTGCATATTTAATGTCATCTGATTCTATAGTACTTGATGTTGTCTGTGTTACTGTAATGTAGTATATGGGTGTTTAAAGTACTCTCTCTCTCTTTATTTCTTTCTCTCTCTCTCTCTCTCTCTCTCTCTCTCTCTCTCTCTCTCTCTCTCTCTCTCTCTATCTCTCTTTCCCTTTCTTCCTATATTTTTCCAACTATGATTTTGTATAAATAATAAATCTGATAAATTTGTACTTATTCCATTCCATTAGGTATTTATATTCCAACATTGTATACAATGTAACATTGTATACAACGTAACATTGTATACAATGTAACGTTGTATACAATGTAACATTGTATACATAACATTGTATACAATGTTACATTTGTATAAATACAAAAATTACAAACTTACGAATACATGCGATTGACGATGACGAAGATGTCGTAGTTTTAATTTTTATAGCGTTTCATTTTTTTAATGACTTTGTTTAAGTTGTAACGTAACAGTTTTTTTTAGGTTCTCCATCCAAATGTTTAGCTGCTGTTTTTTTGTTGTTATTGATGTTATTGCTGTGGTTTTTGATGTGATTATTGCTATTGTCTTGGAAGTTAATTAATTGTTACAATATTTCTTTTAGTTTTTGAATTATATATTTAATTTATGATAACCCGAAAAAACTATCTATCTTAATTATTAATGTTACGAAGATATGATATAATGTTAATGTTATGTTAATGTGATTGTTAATTTAATGGAAGGATTATACTATTATTGTGTCGTAACGTGATAAGAGTAAGTAGTAATGTAATGTTAAAGAGATTTTCTAGTTAATGTAATAGATTGTGATGTGATTATTAAATCAATTTTGTATAGCGCCTCTTTTGAAAAGACCTCAGAGGCGTAAATGTATTGTGTTAATGTAATGTGATGCGACGATTTTATTGTTAAAGTAACTGAATTATAGCATTTGTTTTTTATATGAGACTGCATGTTAGTGTTGTTGTTGTTGCTGCTTAAGTTATTGTATTCTACGTTAATGTTCTTTAAATCTATATTCCGATGATGTAGATGTGTGTGTTTGTAGTTGATGTTATTACTGTGGCTAGAAAAACATTTCTCCTCATTAATGTCGTAATTGATTTTGTTGGTTTATACCTCTCAAAACTGAAAAGAATTCAATACTTGTTCAATTTTTATGTGTGTGTGTGTGTGTTTTGACATTTATTTATACACATAAAAAACACACATGAATATACAAAGTATATATATATATATATATATATATATATATATATATCTAACAATATATATATATATATATATATATATTATAATAAATAGATTCATATTGTTATTAATTTTGCTACATGTATATTTTGTTATTTATATTATATTAGGCATATCTTTCACTATTTATATATTGAGAAAAAGAGAAGGATAGAGTGAGAGTGAGAGAGAGATTTATTCATTATTTTAGTGTAATATATATTATGTTGTCAATAGATTTTACGTGATTAGCTCTTAGATTATCTTGTTGTTTTTTAATTTATCATTATTTTTAAATATGTAAACAATAATAAATTTTGAATTGTCATTATTATTTCTATAATGGTTAATATTACTTCATCTTAATTTCCAATTAGTGAATTGTTAATTTGTTTAGAAATGTAACAAAATAAAACTAGACTTCAAATAAAACGGAGTTTGTTGTATTATTAAAATCACACTGAACAAATTATTCTAACTATATGACAAATATATATATATATATATATATATATATATATATATATATATATATCAAAACTTTATATGACAAATCCACAAATTCCATATACATATAAAATACTAGACTAAATACGAATTCTTAATGAAAAACCCGTATCTCAATAAAATACTTACCCAATTATTTATAGGTGCATTCCTGGTGGTTTTAATAAATAATGCCAAAAGGAAATTTATGTCTAGCCAAAATCGAGTTTTCTTTGTATTAGTTTATAATTTAGGTACAATAAAATAATGTTTCCGAGCAGTCACGTTACTTGAGTTTTTCACAAATTAATTTTTCAGCGTCCCATGAATAGTCTTCTTAAGTCTGCCAGGTTTTATTTAATTTCAATTTAATTAATTTAAATAAAAATTTTGATTTATCTGTTCATTTCAATTTCAACATATTTAATTTTTTTTTAAATAGACAGTTTTGAAAATGGACGACGATGTAGATTTGCGAGAAAGGTTATTTCACAATTTGGTGCGCGAATATGTCATCAGTCTGCTCCTTTCCCTGATGCTTTGCGTCATCTCGTACATCATACTTTGTGCGTTCAAGAGGCGACCAGACAGGGATGAGTATTCGGTTGCCTCGGAAGATGCCGTCGTTTACAGGGTCACCTTGCTATCCTGCACCTTCACGTTGGCTGTCTCCATTGGGGCTGTCATGCTCCTGCCACTGTCCATCGTCGCCAATGAAGCCATCCTACGTTTCCCCAACAGCTACTACTTACAATGGGTCAACCTGTCCCTAATACATGGTCTCTGGAATACTATTTTCATATCCTCCAATCTTTCGTTATTTGTGTTCATGCCATTTGCTTATTTCTTTACTGAGTCTGAAGGACTGCCTGGGTCCAGAAGGGGAATAATGCCCAGAGTTTATGAAACCGCATTGGTGTTTGTTCTCTTCTGCGTGGCCGTATGTGGATTGGTCTGGGTAGTACTGGCACTGACGTCTGGTGATAATAACAAGTTTATGTTTGAGGTAAGCTTTTTATGTTTTTAATTCTAAATATTTATTGGCACATTTTTTAAACTAATCAACAATAAAGGTTTTTTTATTGGTGGACTAACCTCAAAATTTTGTAGTTTGGTTTTATGTTTCATTGCCTGATCGTAATTAACTGTAATTTAATTATGTAATCGTTTCAATTTACTAATAATTTTCATGTAAATATTGAAACAGATCTTCCTAGATGTGAAAAACTTCTACCTGCTCTACTTATACTCCTGTGTGTCGTTCATAGGTGTGGCCATGTTACTCATCTTTACCCCCATCGGTTTCATTCGGTTGTTTACTGTCATCGGGGAGCTCATCACAAACCCCGACAACCTTCAAACTAATTTTGAAGGTTACTTTCAAATGATTGCTTCTTTTTTGTTTTTTCCTGATTTTTGCCTGATCATTATTTTAATTCATGAATCTTAAATTTAGATAGCATTTATTTTTGTCTAGATTTATCTATCTAGTTATTTATCTGGCATCATCTGCCAATTACAAAATTTCATTTGTCATTTAGTATAATTATATTCAGTTACTAGTGTGATCTTTTTGGTCTATCATTAAAAAACTATTTATGTTAAGTTTTGTAAACATTTAATAATCATAATTTAATTGTTTAGTTAATTTGTTAATGATATTTTTGACAAAGGCGACATAATGAAATGCATATTGGAGGAAGCAACAGAGGCTCGAAGACTCGAGGCGTCAACGTTGTCAACACATTTCAAAATTGCCTCTGATTTGCCAACATATGAGTTTGTATAAGTATTACATTTATCTTTTAGTCTGTTATTTCTCCTTACATTTCAATCTTTTATCTCCCCTGTACTGCAACCAAATGAGTAGAATCCTTATTAATATTATTATACAAACACTTTGATAGGAGTCTTAAGGAAGATTGCAAATTAATTCGTCGTAGACAGGCTCTAGAACATCTGAATCAGCAGCAGACATTAGTCTCAGCAACACTGCCCTCACCGTCATTCACAAACGGTTGTCGATCCCTGCATACCTCGATCACATCCCCATCGTCTCTATCATCATTAACGCCATCCTCATCGCCGTACTCATCATTCTTGACGCTGTCCTCGTCATCCTTGTCGTCGTCATCACACTCGCTACCTCCCAAACTTCCATCTCTCCGCGCCAGTTACCTCAAACAAAATGGCTGGAGCGAACTGTCAACCTACCCTCTGCGATCCGCAACATCAATCACAACATTGTTGGCAACACCTGAGACGCAACATCAACATACCCCTACTAGCGCTAGCAACAAAATCAATACAGTTAAAACATCTAACATGTATGCAGCTCGTTGCCTGGAGTTGGAGAAGCAGAGACGACGCATGCTTTTTAGGAGGAAGTTTGTCTACCCGCTATCCATGCTGGCTCTCTTGATATTAATGTCCATATCCCTCCTGATGGTCTCACTTAACATTGCCGAGTTGCTGATTACAGGTAAGGTGTTCAGAGGAAAGGATGATTCGTCGGTTGTGTTGGGGGTGAACTCCATCTCCATGCTGGGTCCGGTGGGGGCTGCGGTGGAGATTGTTGTCATCTTCTACCTCATGACCACATCCATTGTTGGCGTTTACAGTCTGCCTGGCTTCAAAAGGTTCATCCTTATTTTATTTAATGTTTAACTTTCACTGGGTAACATTTTTATACTAATCTTTTAGGTAATATTCATTCAACCACTGGGGAAAATGTTTACAAAAATGAATGACGTCACCATTCAGGTTGTACCCGAAGAGGCAGGACACGCCAATGACGATCATCATCGCCAACTGCGTCATCATTCTCGTCCTTAGCTCAGCTCTTCCCGTTCTCTCGCGAACGTTGGGCATTTCAAATTTTGATCTGCTCGGAAACTTCGGGCAGTTGGAGTGGCTGGAAAGTTCCTACACGATCCTCATCTACAACATCATCTTCGTCATCCTCACCGCCATATGCCTCACCAGGCGCCTGACCATCTCCATGATGAAGATTATTTTCCCAGAGGTTAAGAACATTTTCACTGGGTCCTCTATTAAGAGTGAAAATTCTTCTGAAGTGGTTCCTGCTTCTGCTGTTGCTGATGCTGCAACTTCACCTACATTAATAAAAACAGATTGATGGTTGAGATGATTGGTTGGTTGGTCTGTTGGTTGGTTGGTTTTGGTTTTGATTTTGTTTATGGTTTGATTTTGTCTGTAGTTTGCTGGTTAGTAGATAGATTAAATAGCCTAATTGTTTTGGTCGGCTTGTTTTCAGTTTATTGGTTGATTAGTCGGTTGATTGTTTTGCCTAGGCTGACTTTCAGTTTGCTTGGTTTGTGTTTTGTTTTGCTTGAATCAACCAGTTAAGCGGTTAATTATCAATATTCTTCTCAGTATAACGTGTAAGATGTGCTGTACTTGTGCATGCATGTCATTCTATGCCTTTCTTCCCATATTTACAAACACTTCCTTCAACAATTTCTTTATTCGGATATTTAAACTGTTCTATACAAATGTATATAATTTAAATGTACGTATTTGTACTTATGTATATGTTTGCATGTATGATATTGTATATTTATGTAGATAAAACATGTCTTGTCGTTCAGTATTTGCACCATCTATCATCATTTTCATTGTCAAATGACATTATTAGTCAGAGCTGTAAGAACTTAATGATTTGATAGTATTTATGATCAACGAATTAGTTTTTTTTTCTGATTTAATTTATCATTTAATACGTTAGTAACAACATTATTTATGTTCATTATTATAGATTCATGTGTATATCATTTGTATATCGATGTATATCGTTTGTATCTCGATGTATATCATTTGTATATCGATGTATATCATTTGTATATTGTATTTGTATCAAAATAATGCAACATTCCCATAGCGATGTGTATACATATATATATTACCTACGCTGTATACGTGCGGATGTTTGCAGAGTTTATTATAAGACCTATTTATGACGATTTCATTATTATTATTAATATAATTATTACTAATTTATTATAGCGTTTTTTATTATTCATTCAATTTACTAGTTTGTCTCGCTCCTTTGAAGAGATTCGTTCAAATTGACAACATAATTTTGTATGCTTAACTGCCAGCCAGATGAATGTTTCCAGTGCATTCTTCCTAATGTGAGTCTTTATAACTAATAGATTGGTTTGTCAGAATAAAAAATTCATTTTCTTTTTGTAGGTGCTTATTTGGTGGCACCATAATTATTTTCTGAACATTAGTCTGTTTATATTTTTTTTATGAAAATTTACTTTTGCTCCATTACAATTAATGCTGTATAATCGCTACTGCCAGCTACGTGAACATTGCTTTGCCATATTAAACATTGACATTTTCTGTTGGCATATTATTTAATTTATAGCATCTCAGTCCTTTGTTGATTTTGCCATTGGTTGGTTGATTGGCTAATTGGTTGGTCGGTTGGTTGACTGGCTGATTGGTTGGTTGATTGATTGGTTGGTTGATTGATTGGTTGATGGATTGATTGATTGAAAATAGATTGTCTAATTGATCATTTAATTATTTGATCGATTGATTTTTGAATAAACACCATTTTATAACTCAACTTTAAGGCATTTAATTAACGAAGAATCAGTACTTTAATATTATTCGTAGTTGTGAGGTCCGATCTGATGAACATACACCTTGGATTTCATCTGAACATGTACACCTATGTTTTTATTCACCATAACGAACTGTTTGATATCTCATTAATATTCGTAGAGTGTTATCATTTACATCCATAGAGATATCTAATTATTATTTATGATAGCATAGATGGTTTTTAACTATTTAATATTTCGTTAATATTCATAAGTGACATACCATAAATTTTAAAACTTTGATTACCCTGTCAATATGAATATTGATTGTAGGCTTGTATGACTCAAATGCTTCCTAACCAGCGTTAAAGTACTATAGCTCAATTCTTATGGCTTTTTTTTTATCTTCTTGATCTCTTTGGCTCGAGGAACATATATTTTCTTAAATTAATTGATGTAACGTATGTTGATGCTATGCAACAATTAGTGTAATGTATTATTAATGTAGTACTGTTGTAATTATTTATTATTATATTTATTTATTTTAAGGATTATTATTAACTTTTAGCCTGAGTTTAATGCCCAATGTTTTTATTTCAAGTCATTAAATTTCTAATTAATTTTAAAATAGAAGACTTTTTTCTCCTCCCTCTCTCGCTCTTTCTATTTCTATTTCTCTCTCTCTCTCTCTCTCTCTCTCTCTCACTACTGTATGTATATATTATATGTGATGATATACTAAGCTAATAATGAACGATTAGTCTAGTCAAGTTTGATGAGACCATTTTTGCCTAAATGGTAAATTTAAAAAATATGAAAATAAGGTTATTAATATTTATTATTATTATTGTAAGAGTTAGCAATATTTTTTGTATGTATGTATGTATGTACGTACGTACGTACGTAGGTATGTATGTATGTATGTATATTTTTTTAAATGGTTATATAATCAATGTGTAGCTGTTTTGTCATCGTGTGTGATCAGTGCAATGACGAATGTTTATTATTTTTATGTTTTGATGGTCCTAAATATGTACATTAGATATTGTGTATGTGTGTGTATGTGTGTGCGTGTGTAAATTACCTAAAATTCTAATTATGCTGGGCGCATATTGTTTCGTAGCGTCTTTCAACATTAATAACCCTTAAACGTGATCATAATCTGATTAAACGTTTATAAGAATATCATATAATTTTTTTTGTTTGTTTGTTTGTTTGTATGTTTATTTATTATCAATCCCGATTTTTTTTTAGTTTTAAACATCAGAAGTTTTGCCTTTTTGTTTCAAAGGAATCGTTAAAAAAATTTATCCCGATATTACTTTATGTGTGATGATTCATAATAACAGCTGACTGACATATATAAGTTTTCTAACATTCCGTTGATAAAACTTATAATAATTATTGTTATTATTATTATTATGAATATTTAATACTGAAGTATCAGTTCTGTAACATATTGCAATTATATTGAGATGCATTGTACTTAAGGCTCGTAAGACTTGCAGTTTACCTACTACATTGAATAATTCGTTCATTGATATTCATTCATGTTTAAATAATTAAGATGTAAATAAATTATGTGCTTCTCTTCTGAAATAAATTCTGCTATATTTATTCGTAACCGATTGCAAGACGTTTTTGAATTTGATTTAACGGAAAACTAATAAAATATTATATATAATATTTCTATATTATATATTTATATTATTTTTCAAATATTATTTTTTAAATAAGGTTCTCTCTCTTTCTCTCTCTCTCTCTCTCTCTCTCTCTCTCTCTCTCCCTCTCTCTCTCTCTCTCTCTCTCTCTCTCTCTCTCTCTCTCTCTACTATATAATTTAATACTATAGATCATAATATATCATATTATAAATATTATACCATAATGTACATTATTATTAATATCAGATAGATTATTTTTAAATTAAAATAATTCATCGCATAATATAATACAACGTTTAAATTGAACCAGATACAAAGACAGGCCCGCCATCAGTTCAAAACTACTTACCGTGCAGTTATACATGGCGGAGAAAAGTGATTTATTGTAACTGATAGAATTATACAATGCGTGATGAAAAGAATAAAATTAAAAAGAATAAATAATATTAATAAGAAGAATAACAATAAAAGTTATATTTTGCTAATCTAATGACAAATTTTCAATCAAATAGCATAACAATTAGATTTGATGTTGGTTCTATGCTTTCAGAGAGTCTTTCATTAAATTTATTTATGAATTCATTCATTCGTTTGTTTGTTTATTTATTTATTTTTGGTTTTATTTCAAATCAAGTATTCATGTGACTTTAATGATTTTAAAAACCGTCAATATTAATAATAAAATTATTAACAACAAGAGTGATGATAATAATAGAGAACATCAGTAACGAGATAATACTCATACAACGAATTCGTGCTCTATTACAACTACTTACATTACTCACACATACACGCGCGCACACAAACACACGCACAACATACACGCGCATACATGAAGATGATCATCAGCTAGAAACACACCAAAGGAACCGACCTTGACATTTAAAAAATTTCTCAATTTTATTTCATTGCGATATCGATGATGAAGATGACGATGATTGTGACCTGACTAATAAAAAAAACATAAAATGAATGAATGAATAAACAAACGAACGAATGAATCAAAAAAGCGAGCAAACAAATTAAATGAGTCGTTTAATCTTACTTTTTATACGATTTAAAACAAAGAATTTTTACAAGTAACCTTACTAATTGCCACAAGAATAGTAGTGGTAGTGGTAAGTGGTAGTAGCAGCAGCAACACAAGTAGTAGCAGTAGTAGCAACAGCAGTAGTAGTAATAGCGGTAGCAATTGTAGTAGTAGCAGCCGCAGTAGTAGTAGTAGCAGTAGTAGTAGTAGCAGCAGTAGTAGTAGTAGTAGTAAATATTATTTTCTGATCAAACATGGACCCGATGAATGCGGATTTGCATCTACCTAACCTGTGAAAGTGTAGCTGCTTGCATAACCTTCACGTGTGTGTGTGTGTTGTGTTTGTATGTGTTTGTGTTTGTATGTGTCTGTATGTTTGTCGGTGTGTGTGTTAACTTGTACTAACCTATGTTACGTGCATGTATGTACTTGCATACGAATGAGTTCTGTGTTGTTGTGGTTCTGGTTGCTTATGTTGTCATTGTTGTTAAAACTCGCTTCACATTCACTGACTGATCAAACAAAATTATATCGTAAAGAGGACTTCAGACTTCATACACAGTCCAAACCAACTTGATCGTGAATCTGAATTGCCTTTGAAGGATGATCTTTGACTAACCCTCCGAAGTTAACCTAAATATAGCGCAGTTATAAATAGCACAAAGACACACACACACACACACACATATGCAGACCTACATTCCCACACACAGATACTCCCACAAACACACAAACAAACATACTCAAAATCAAAGACACACATTCTTACACAGATACACACACAAATATATATTTACATCGGCCCATTCAAACACTTACCTGTGTGTTTTGTTTGATGTATTTACACACACACACCCCACACACAACACAAGTGTGCGTATGTGTGTGCGTATGTGTGTGTGCGTATGTGTGTGTGCGTATGTGTAGGTGTGTGTAGGTGTGTGTGTGTGTGTGTGTGTGTGTGAGTGTGTGTGTGTGCGCGTGTCGCACACCTTCAAAACCATTCATGATTCAATCCAGTTATTTTAAACTGAAAAACTAATCATTTGTGTGAATGCGTTTAATGAATACGTTTAATGAATGCGTTCGACTGTGCATGGCATTGCGAACCTTTCACACATTCACCAAATCCCAGTAGCATACATTAACAGCAACAACAACATCAACAACAACAACATCAACAACAACAACATCAACAACAACAACAGCCACAACAACAACGAAATCATTGCCGATACACACTCAACCACGCGCATATATCTTGATACATTCATACAAAAAAATTGTACACACATTAAATTACAAACATACATACGTAATTACGTACAAATACATAAATACCAACAAATATGCATGCATACACTTCAAACCATTGTTAGCTATCCAAAGCTAAACAATGTCAACACATACACTTATAAGATATATATATATATATATATATATATATATAATTTATATAATTTATATATATTTATATATATATAAATTGTACATAAATATAGTATATATATATATATATAGCTAGTTATTTATAAGTATTTAAGTATTCAATAAAATAATCGTTAAATAGTAATATCAAATCACCTATTGCTTACATTAGAATCTAAGTAATCCGACAAGCAATTTAATGCATATTTAGATGGATTAAGTATTTTCACACAAATACAAAAATAATATAAAATATAAAATTATATATATAAATAATAATAATAAAATAATGTAAATATAAAAATAATATAATATAAATAATAAATATAATTATATATATATATATAAATCTCATACAAAATTCATATTCATACATTTGTATATATCTTTTATATTGATTGTTTCAATAGGCAAATCGTTGACATCCGGTATGTATATATATTGGTAGCTTATGGTTGAATCATTGACACATTTTGCGAAAAACTTTGGATCGAGTCAATTTATTTTCTGGTGTTGTTGTTTTTGTTGGAAAGTTAATATTATTTTGAGAAGGTAGTTTAGTATCTTCATCATGTGTTGATGAGATTATATTTGGTTCTGGGGTTTTGTTGTTGTTGATGTTGTTGTTTGATTTTATAATGCCGTTGTTATTGTTGTTTTTGTTGTTGTTGTTTTCGTATTGTTACTGCTACTACTGGTTTTTAATAAAATTTATCGGTCTGGAGTAATATTACTGCTGCTACTACTATTACAACGACGACTACTACTAAACTACCATTACTACTATTACTACTACTACTGCTGTTGCTGCTGCTACTGCTACTATTGGTACTTTTTCCCTTAATTTTTAGCATCATTACTAACAAAATTTTTGCTAGAAATGATTTGTGAGCAATTTTTTATTATAAAAAAAATTTAAATTTAGAATGAATGGATTTTTTCTATTAACTAACAATATCGTGAAAATAATTTCATAAATGGTAATGATGAAACGATGAAAATAAGCTTTCATAAGCAGGTAAGTTTGCATGTAACATACAATCATTTGTGTGCGAATATAAGCAGATGCTCGCCTTAATTACATGCTAATTATCTTGATTTATTCCTCTTTAAAATCGTTGTATATGTTTGTTTTTTAAAATATTTTTATTTAAATTAATTGAAAAAAAAGAACAAGAGAAAAACTTTAAACAGTACATTTTCCCATCATTAACCGTGCAGGTGTAGCGCGCACAACAGTGTGCATGCATCACCAATACCACTACATCAGATCCAGCAACGAACGAGCGCTATATAAATGGCGGCGGAAGGGTTGAAGAAGCCTGTGAAGAAGGAAACCATGACGACAGAACTCATCCACGTCGCACTCGTTGGCGACAAAGGAGTTGGGAAAAGTTTACTGGCCAGGGCCAGGGCCTGCGGGACGAAGTACACCCTAAAGGAAATGTTCCAACTGCACATCAGCCAGGTGTGGACCTACGACAACTACAGGACCTCTCCCGAAGTAGTTTATTCTTTCTTGTTCTTTGACATTCTGTTCTTTTTTTAATTATTTTTTAGATTTAAATCTTTATTTAATAATATCATTATTTAATACACGTACATTGTATTTGTTTAAATGTTAAAGTTAAAGTTTTGTTTAAATATTTTTCGTTTCATTAGTCAAATGATGTTAATAAGATTTTGATGAGATATGTACGCAATGAAGGTCAGAGAAAGGTCTCTTTGTCACGTCGATGGGGTGAACTGCACTTTGAAAATTTTCGACACGTTCGGAAACAGAGATGTAAAACGAGAGAATGTTTATTCGTTGTGAGTTTTTAATATTGCATCTGTAATTTGTTATTTCAATTTTTTTTTAATTTTAAACTATCAATTTGCGACAAATTAAAAAAAAGCTAAAAACTTTTTGACTGAAGAGCCGACGCCATCGTCATATGTTTCTCGGTGAGTGACAAGCGATCTCTTCAGAGCGTCACGAAGCATTGGATCAATGAAATCAGATTCAGTTGCCCCGCAGTCCCAATTATCTTGTGCGCCTGCAAGATTGATCTCAGGTACATTTACAAGGATCCTAAATTCCTGGAACTTCAAAAGTTTTCTTTCTCACAGTGAGAAATTTTCACAGCTAGATTTTATTCTTAAAATTTGCGTAAATGTTTAAAGATTTAACTATGAATTAATGTTATTCACTAATATACATTTTTCGACCTTTTAAATTTTTAACTTAGTCAGATGCAGAAGGAGAACCTTATCTACCCAGAATCCGGCAAAGAAGTTGCGAAAGAGATCAAAGCTTACTACTACGAAACAAGCTCCATGGTTTCTTACGGGGTGGACGATTTATTCAACAACGCCATCAGGGCCGTTCTAGTGGCAAAACGTCGAAGTTCATTCGCTTTTCGCTCCTTCAAAAACGTTTCAATCCCGCACGTTCAAGTTCCACACGCTCCCCCCAAACCTACCACTCCAAAAATTGTTTGCGAGAAAAATGAAAATTCAAACTGGCTGGAGAAAGGTCGGAAAAAGTGGTTATTTGACGGAGAATTCAGCGACGCAACATTAATTGTGGGCAACCAAACTTTTGAAATCCACAGAGTATTTCTAGCTGCGGCCTCGCCGTTGTTTGAAAATATTTTTCTTAGCGAAGAAGTAAATTCGGAAAAGAATATTAGAATATCTCCGTGCGTCTGCAAAAGAAGTACCACTTTTTTTGCCTCAAATGGAAGTTCGATATCAAAAAATTCTGATTCAGAAGAAAAGATTGAATGCAGCAAAACGAACAGGAACCTCGGTCGATTTGTTGTTACACCAATAACCAACAACTTTTATGACAAAGTGTTTAGTAAAAATGGTGGTAGAAAGAAATTACATAATGTTCCTGAAAGCGATTTCAGTTCATCCATAGAAACGAACGCTTCGATCATCAGCTCCTCTCCCAATGAACTCAGCTTCCCGTCGAAAACTCTGAAAAGTGCGAGCAAGAACTCATCCGACAGTGGTGGAGAATTCGATTTCAACGGCGCATCTTCAACTTTATTTGACCCCAACAAAAAAAGTTTCATTCACCTGGATGACCTTTCTGCTTCAGGAAACAACGAAACTAAAATCATTCCAAGCCACCATCACATAAATGCTGACGAATATTATTCGACCGTTAGTGAGGACAGTGGGATCAAGTCTCCGTTGAAAAACATGGCGAAAACAGCATCTATCAAAACTATTTATAATTTTTCTGCTAGACGACTTTCAACGCATAACGTATACAGAAAACTGGAAAAAAATTCTTGCGATTTATGTAAAAAATTTTATAATTCCACCTTAATGTCATCCAGTACGCTGTCGTCGAGTCTCAGTCTTTCTGTATCTCCTATCTTGAGTATCAAGAGAATCGTCAGCGCAGACGACGGCTGCGCTGCAACGGCGACGAGTTACAACCTCACTAAAACATCAACCGACGTTTTTGAAATTGAGTTGGACGAAAAACTAGTTGAACCGAAAATTTTGCAATCGTTAATTAACATTTTGTACTCTGGTACTGATCAGGGATATGAAGCTTCGGAGCTTGAGAAAGTTTTACGTGTCGCCAAAATGTTGAAGTTTCCCGATGTTGTAACATTTTTATCAGCCAAAGTTAACAAAGTAAGCTCTAGTTTAGAAACTGTGAAACAATCATTTGAGAAAATAACTAGTGAAGCACAAGTTAGCAGAATCCGCCACCTCTTCTTGGAAAATGATCATTTAGCAGGTCTTACAAAATTAACTTTCATTGAACTCTAACGAAACAGGCTAGATTTTATTAACATTCTTTACTATGAAAACAGATGTCTGTTTTGGACTGGATGATGGCCAGATCTTCGTTCACAGATGCTTACTCTCTATGCATTGCGAGGTCTTCACCGCCATGTTCACCGGATATTTCTACGAAAGACAAAATAAAGTTGTTAGTAAAATTACTTTTTAATTATTCTTTTTGTTGAAAATTATTTTTAAATATATTTTGGTTTTAACGAACTTCAGGTTGACTTTCGAGATGCATCGAGAGCAGCTTTCAAGACAGTCCAGGAATATTTGTACACCGGTTCGTTTCCAACAAGTTCAGGGGATTGGCTGGGGGCGCTGGAGCTGGCAAACAGATTGTGCCTCAACGATCTACTCCTCCCACTCCAACAATCTATCCAACTTCATTTTGATAAGTGCATTAAGAACAATCAAGAGGTCATATTGTGCGCGTTGAACGCTTTGAAGCTTTCGAGGGTGAGAAATAATTTGATATTCCAATTATAATTCTCAAATCGAAATAATTTTGGGTTTCAATTACACTTCTTAAATGAACCATCACAGATCACACATTTGAAATGTTTTTCATAAATATGCAGTTAATTAAAGCCGATCAATTAGCGAAATGGTGCCTATGGTATCTGTCGGTTGAATTTGAAAACGTGACAAAAAATTATAAGGATGATTTTGAAAACCTTTCTGCTGATGACAGGCTGTACATTGAACATAACAAGTGGCCCCCTGAATGGTAGCTAGAAACATTTCATTCATTTGTTAATGCGAACGTTTCAAATCTAATTTTTATCGTAAAGTGTTTTCATGTGTTTACATAAATTTTGATTGTTAATTAATGAAATGTACGCTCAACTCAAAAGGTACTTGAAGGCGGTGAAGGACTATAATGTGGAGATCTTGAAAGTCAGCAAGAAGAAATCTGATCACGTTTGGATTCCCCATCCAGGCGGATGTTTCAGATTTAATTTGAAAAAGTAATTTATTCACTCAAATTGAGGAAAAAATTCATTCTAACAACTTAAAAAGCTGTTTGGAAAAAGAACTCCTTCAAATGATTAAAAGTGATGATCTGATATACATATATATTTGCTGTCTTCAATATATTATACGTACGTAACTGTTACAATGTTTTGGTGCTATCTTGTGATCTGTAAAGACAGACATTATCATACTTTTACGTTTTAAACAATTTTGTTATTCTTTCACTGAATTTTTTCGAATATTAAAAAAATATTTTTAGGTCTAAAGTATAAACATGCCATTTTATTATGAAATTATTTTTTTATATAAATTTCGCAAATATTTTTACCGATTGACAGTTACCGATTCTTTTGAAGTTTTATTACTTTCTCAGCTAATCAGACTCTTTCGCTTAATTATTTGTTGTGGCTTTCTAATCACTTAATTATATGAGTGCAATCTGATAATGTGTTGTTTGTTGGTTGGTTGGTTGGTTGGTTGGTTGGTTGGTTGGTTGGTTGTTTGGTTGGTTGGTTGGTTGGTTGGTTGGTTGGTTGGTTGGTTGGTTGGTTGGTTGGTTGGTTGGTTGGTTGGTTGGTTGGCTGGTTGGCTGGTTGGCTGGTTGGTTGGTTGGTTGGTTGGTTGGTTGGTTGGTTGGTTGGTTGGTTGGTTGGACGAAAAGTGTACGCCATTACCCCAAAAATACAAAACATACAACCAGCTATATAGGTACTACACCACATGCACACAATCAATCAAGTGATATACATACATACAACCTGATAACATACAACGTTATAACATACACTTACATTACCTATACGCAACACATATGCATAGGCCAGGGATAAGTTGATATAAATTACAGCGGCATGCAAACCCTAATAAATGTTTTGTATTGTTAGTAAGCACTGGCTATGCGGACTTGCACCATGGCACGTATGATCCGATCGACTGCAGCTCATCAATTATTAAAACCGTTTCCAAGCAAAAAATAGTCTTGTTTGACTGGTTTGAAGCATTTTTTCTGTTTATTCTTTGTTTAAAAGATTATATTGTTTTGTTTAGGATTAAAACATTCAATTATTCAACAAATGAATTCCCTTGAAGATAAATTATGATCGAAAAGTGGATAAAAACGAAGCAGTTATGAAAATATTTGTTAGGAATTTCCTGCACCTCAGAACTCTAACAGGAGTCTTCAGTTTTTTATTTATCAAAATTTTACTCCTTCAATTTGGGGAAACAGGTGAGTTTATGGCTTAACCATTTTTGAAATATCAACTTTTAAACGGCGAAGAACGATGTCTTTGATACGCGTGGATGTATTTTTATGAAAATTTATTACTGAAACAAAGAGCAAAGTACGACGAAGAAATGGAACGAAACGAACACACAGTCCAACGCCATAACCACCTCCTCTCCGATGCCGCCTGCAGACTCCAACGAAAAATCGGTTACAAAATTTTTCACCAAATTTTTTTTTATCCATAGAGTAAACTTTTAAACCAGGGGTGGGCAAACTTTTTGCTGTCAGGGCCGCATAGAGAACTATTTTACCTTTGATGGGCAGCATATGTAATAAATAGCAAATTTGCGGGCCGTAGATTGCCCGCCCCTGTTTTAAACTAACGTCCAACTCATTGTTTTGGAACGTATCTCCGTTTCTCTAAGTGAATTTTTATTGGTGTTTTTTGGAACAAAAATTATTTTAATATTTTTATCTAAATTAAGTTTAGGGATTAAAAAGCTAAAATATCTATGTATTACCACAATCACAGAGTAGCACAGATCATTCATTAATACGAAATAAACCACAAATAATTATAAAGTATCGAGAATTTTTCAATGTTCAAATCATAAAAATCTTATTCAACTTCATCATGTATACGTATTTCCTCACCGCCATCACAAAACAACAGACAGTGTCCGTTTCAAAGTCGAAACTAATGATGGGTCTCGGAATGGGTTTCGGTTTCACTTTCGGTTTGATAATCGTCACCGTCATCCTCTGGAAGGTATGCTGTGGCCTCATGGGCTCTAGGGCAAACCCGCGCAATCAAATCACCCCGAGAAATGATGATAATGACGATGATGGGGGTAGTACGCCCCGTGGAAAAGAGGGGGCGGCAAAAAATGACGCCCACTTTAAACATAAAGATATCGACTTTTCTTCTTTTGAATCGTAGTTCGTAGTTCAATTAATTAATTAACTGATTAGAGGTATTTTTTTAATTTTAGTAGTTAATTATATATTTTAGAAATACTAGTATTAAAATGAATTTGGATGATTTAATCATGTGATTATATAGGTTGCATCATATCAACCTCAGCACTTGACTAAACAACGTTCTATCTTCACATTTGAAACATGCGCTGGTGATAATGATGAATAAATAAATAAATAATAATAATAAATAAATAAATAATAATATTATTATTATGTTATATTATTATTATTATTATCTTTCATCCGTAACAAGCTAGTATTATTTCATTAACTTTCGACTAGACATGTATATCACAAAATAACTCTACATTGTTATTAATATTACTGCTACTTGTACTAGAAAATAATAATTGTAATAATAATAATCACTGTTATTGTTATTATTATTATTATTTAAAATACAATTAATACACGAAGCGAGTTCATTTTCATAGAGATTTCTAACAAAAAAAAGCTCACAAAGATAAAAAAAATCACAAAATCACACACACTAAGCCAAATAGAAGAATATAAAAGGCGTCAACAGACACATGTAAATAAATAAAATCTACGCACACACACACAAACAAACACACACATACATGCACACACATACATACATACATACATACATACATACATACATACATACATACATACATACATACATACATACATACATACATACACATATACATACATACAATAATCCACTTGTTACTTGATGTTCGACTGTTTAGTGTCATTCATCATGTTTTGCTTTTAACAAACATACACACACACACACGCGCACACAAAAGAGACACACGCACGCATATACATATTTAGTATCACTCTTTTCTATCTTATGAAATAAAAAATACGTTTGAATACAAATATATAGTCAGTAACTTCAGCAATACGAAAACGTGAATGCGTACCATGTGTGTTTGTGTGTATACATAGATAAGCAAAAAAGTAATTAAATACTGTAGCTGTTGTAGTAGTAGGGGGATTGGTAGCGATTAGTAGAAGTATTATAAATTATTATTATAATTAGTGAGTGATTTACATTGTTTTTAATATAAATTCATCCAAGACAATTCACACTGATAAAAGTAGAAGAATAATACTTTTTATAAAACATAAAATCAACTCCGAAATTAGATTGATGTTTAGTATTCAATTTAATCTAATGTTGAAGCCACAAGATCGAAAAAACCGACAGCTTCTCGGCTGGCACCCCCGATGGCACCCTCTAAAGGGGAGCCACCATCGCACCGGGGCTGGTACGAAGTGACGTCACCATATTCGGCGTTCCACACTTCGTACTGCCTAATGGTATCGTTGGGAACACTTTTACGTATTCTCTTCAATGAGTCGTAGAAATCTCTCTTATGTATGCATCTTATCTGAGTGTGTGTGTTGTTGTTGTGTGTGTGTTGTTGTGTAAGTGTGCGTGTGAGTGTGTGTGTGGTGTGTGTGCATCAAATAAGCTATACTTTTATCTATATCATCTATGTCCTGTAATATCATCTATCCAATATCATACCTATATTCCGAGCAGTTGACTTTACATGCAGTCATTTTGTTAGTTAATAAAAATTTTTTGGCTCAGATGGTAATATATCGGCAATCCTATTTTAGGACTTTCTAGTAAAATATTTTAAAAAATATTTGAAATGAGTCTAACTTCACTGGCGTCCATATTTCTCAAGCATTCAGAATCGATTTCTGTTTAGAATTTTTTTAAAAATTGGTTATAACTTATATACGCTTAAATACATTAAATCTTCAAACCCATCAACATTTTTTTTAATTATTTCATTTCATTTTTAGTTAAGAGGATTGTTAGTTTTTCGTTGTTGGAGTTGAAAATAATTTCGTATTTAAGTGTCAAGTATATAAGCATCATAATTGCCAATTCAATATCATCATCATCAACATTAACATCATCTTCATTCTCATCATCAACATCAAAACCTCATCATTAACATTCATATCATCATCAAGATGAACACTAGCCTCTGATTGGTCCAAGAGCGGCGTCTTTAGCCAATGAGGTTAGATCACTTCCGGAGTAGCCCTCTGTGAAACTTTTGACAGGAAAAAAATTAATATTATTATTTTTAGTAGTACCAGTAGAAGTAGTAGCAGTAGTAACAGCAGCAGTAGTAGTAGCAGCAGTAGCTGCAGTAGCAGTAAAGACAAACCACGCACCTAGCCAACTCATCAACTTCGTCAGCGGTCAGTGGATTGTTGTGTTTGGAGAGAAGTTTCGTAAGAACGTTAACCCTGGTTGCTTTGCTGGGCATCGTCACGTAAATACGCTTTGCAAATCGCCTGCACGTGTATTAGTTTAATACTGGTATTGGAGGTACTGTTGGTGGTTTTGATGGTGTGTTTGTGCTGGTATTGAGTTGATATCAAACGTGTATGTGTGTGAGTATGTATGTGTGTGAGTATGTATGTGTGAGTGTGTGTGTGTGTGTGTATGTGAGTGTGTGTATGTATGTGTGAGTGTGTGGTATGTGTGTGTGTGTGTGTGTGTGTGTGTGTGTGTGTGTGTGTGTGTGTGTGTGTGTGTGTGTGGTGTGTGTGTAGCACTATAAATTCGGCGGATAAAAACCTCAGAACAGCATCGTCGAGTTCTTGAGGTCGATTAGTGGCGCCCATCACTAGCACGTTATCTTTACTGCTACTGTGCACCTGGGGTATTTTTTTGCATTGGCGTGACGTCACATCGTGTCACGTGACGTATATAATATTGAGGGTGCTGTGTGGTGGTCTGGTTGAATTGAAATAAATCATTATTGGTTATTAACGGTATGAAAATAATTAGCCACCCCATCAAACTCCAGCAGAAATTCAGTTTTCAATCTTCTACTTGCTTCGTGCTCGCCTTCCCGCCTTTCCGACAATAATGAGTCTATCTCGTCTGCAAATTATAATTATTAACTATTATTATTACTATTATTATTATTGTTATTATTATTATTATTATTATTATTATTATTATTATTATTATTATTATTATTATGATAGCCATCGTCACAATCTTGACCAAACATCCAATCCTAATGTAAATCGTCACTCCTATCCTCATTGTCGTCATCATCGTCAACATCTTCATCATCGTCATCTTCATCATCAACATAATCATCATCATCATCGTCCTCATCGTCCTCATCTTTATCATCTTCATCATCCCTATCATTCCTACTGACCGATGAATATGACCGCGGGTTGCATCTCGCGGGCCACAGAGAAGAGGGCCCTCACTAATTTCTCCCCCTCCCCTACCTTGTTTCAATTTTTAACATTTTTAATTTTTAAATCAATTTCTATCAATTTCACAAATTATACAAATAAATAATAATTATTTATTAATTAGCTATAAAATCCTAGATAGAATATAAACCGTAATTATAAAATATTAACAGTTAGGAGGTAATTTTTAACGGTCAACCAACATATTTTGAGGTCAGACTCGAAGCACTGATACAGAAAAAAGTCGCACTCGATTCATACGCAACGGCTTTCGCCTTTAAATTTGAGAAATAAATTACTAATTAATTCTACTAATTTGTTAATTATTTAAATCAAACCTCTAAATAATAAACCTCATTAATTCATTTAATACATCCTTAATTTATAGCAATTGATACAACCGTTTGATCAAATTTGATTAAATGACAAATTTTCCGGTGAAATATTGATTAAATTGATGTTAATTTAGTAGATTTTAAAAAAATATTAATAGATTATATAAAAATTATCTATTTTATTTCTGATAAACATCTTGAAAATTCATTTCTGTTGTATTAACCAGCATGGTCTTTCCATTCCCTGGCGGTCCAAACAGCAGAAGGCCTCGAGCTGGAGATCTCAAACCTACAAACAACTGAAAAATAATTTTCATATATACTTATATTAATTTAATTATAATAAAATATTATATCAAATATTTTTATTATTAATATAATATTATTTTAAATAAATTATACCTCTGGCCTCAGAGCAGGAAGTATGACAATTTCTTGGAGTGCTTGTTTTGCGGTTTCTTGGCCGGCTAATGACGTTATGATTTTTAATTAATCGAGGTTTAATTAGTTAATTAATCAATTAAAATTCATTTAGTTAATTAGTTAGATCCAGTTAGTTAATTAGTTAGATCCAGTTAGTTAATTAATTAAGAAAACTTTAAATTAACGAGTATAATTAAGTTATAAAATTTCTCGAAAATAAAAAATTCTATTTCTTTATTCGTTTAATTTTCTGACAAAAATCAAATAAGCAAGATTGACAGTAAGAGTAAATTTTTAAAATAAATGATAATAATTGATAATACTAAGTAATAATTATAACCACAATTATAATGTTATAATTATAACCATAATTATAATGTTATAATTATCATAAATTATGGAAACCGATATCTTGAAACTTGACAATAGGCCCGTGGTCGATGATCTCGTTCATAATGATGTTTGCAAGGTTCTTGTCAACATTCCGACATTGAACTTGCTTCTGTTGCCGGTTGGTCTGCTGTAAAATATATCAACATTTATGGAAATTTTTTTTTATAAAACTGGTAATATTGATGTTAATTTAAAATTTGTTAATCCATAAACGCACTTATTACTATGAGTCTAGAACAGGGGTGGACAATCTTTTTGCTGTGAGGGCCGCATTGAGAACTAGTTTACCTTTGAAGGGCCGCATATGTACTTAAATAGCAAATTTTTTCGACTCGGTGGAGAATTTTTTTAAATTTGTGGCTTCTTTTTTTAGTCATAATGCCTGTTGGCTGACGACCTTTGACTTTTTTTTTGCCGAACAAGGTCGTAGTTTGCCCACCCCTGGTCTAGAATTATCTACATGGATTCAAATAAACGTTCACACAGCATGAGAAGCTTTTTTTCGTTAAGTATTTTATGACTAACGCATATTAAGCAGCATAACAATTACAATTTTTATAACTGATATTTATATTAAATAGGAATAATTATTTATAATCTAACGAAGCTACGTTAATATGTGGCCATTTCATAAGGTTTTTTTTCATTCGATTTTTTTTTCATTCGATCATATAGTACACCACAGTCAAATAATAAAATGAGAAAATTTTAATATTTTATAAAATTTTATTTCAACAACCGAAAATTGAAAACGATTTAACAAATGTTTAGAGTTAGTTAACAAACACCAAACCGTAATGAACGTACATCTTTATTGCTATAAGAACCTCCATTCAGCATAACTTGAGCGTGTTTTCGGGGGGCAGGTTTAGGGCTCCTCCTCGGTGACCCGTGGTGGTAGGGCCCTGAGGTGGTGGCCGATCTATGGTAGGATGAGGAGGAGGATGAAGAGGATGCAGACGTTGATTGGTTCATTCTAGATGGAAGGGTGTTGTAGCGATGGATCATGGGATCGTATCTGCGGTCGTGGCGGGCGCTGTGCGACATGGCTGCAGTTTCATTTCCATTCATTTAATTTATTAATATTCATCTTTTGTATTTTATAGTCAAAAAAATGTGTATTTCTTATTCTCAATAACAAACTTCAATGAACCATTTTATGAAACGTGTTTGAGAATAAAAAACTGAGCAAGCAAGAAGAACCTAGAACATCTAATCGGTCTCTGGCCAGTAGCAGGTTAGTTTGCATCTTCTCTTGCAGCCTTCTCGCTTTGTCCCACTGCTCGCCTGCGTTACACCAATATAGTACCACTTTGTACATTATACATAGTACATTATACGTAGTACACGAACATAGTACTTAGTACACTGTACATTTCAACGCAAATTTCATCAGTCACGATCGTCGTTTCAAAGTAATTTTATTTTTAAAGCATTTATTTCACAGGAAATTTGTATTAAATTTAATCAAATTAACTGAATATATATAAATATAATATAAATATTTGAAAAAATTTGAAGTTTTATATGCATTTCGTTCTATGTACATAAATGTGAGAGAGCGTATAATGATAGATAATTATGTTAATAATATATTCCAAACGTACCTTGACCGCAAATATTGATTGCGATTCCTTTGTTCAACTCTTCAATGCCCTTCAAATAAAGCTCTACTGCCAGGTCTTTGTGGCCAACTGTTTCAATCGTTATATACAATCTCGTTCAAAAGTTACAATATATAAAAGTTAGTTTCAAAGTAAAAAAAAATTCCATGACATGCTAATTGGTAACTACAGATTCATATTTGTTATCTGTGCTCGACTGATTGCGATCAACGAGATGTAGTTTTATGCGGGTATTCAGACGACGTGTAATTAAATTGTTTTCAAACGTGTAGGTGATAGTTCCGATAAAAAAAACTCTATGCTAACTGCGTGCAAACTACCAGCAACCAACTCACCTCGATCTTCGTTGTCCAACTTGAGGGCTCTGGAGATGAATTCGAAGGCCTTCCTGTGATGATGCTTCTGCCTGCTGATGACAGGTTCGGGAGGAGGAAATGAGTACAAGGTGGGTGAATAAACTCTGGGAGACTCTCTCGACGTCTCACGCCTACTGGCAGGTCTTTCCATGAATTGAGAGCAATTTATTCGCAGAGGCATCCTGGTGTCTTTCTGCGAATTAACTGAAGAACACTCGGCAGCAGCAGCAGTAGCAACTTGTACTTCTTGGGTGATCTGCCTTCTTCTGGACGAGGGCCACGCGTACATGCTAAATCTGCAGACGGTGAAGAGAATGAGCCAGATGTAAAATGCTATGAATCTGATCAGGTTGAACGTTTGTATGACCGGCTGAGAGAAGGCGTAGAAGTTGGATCTGTGGAAGCTTCCATCTGCTTGCACATCTGAACTTGAAGTTTTGTTTTTGTCTGGTTTTGCAGACCTGCTGTTACTCGCTCCTGCTCCAGACTGCCTGCCAGATGAGTTGGGAGGTTGTTTCTTTTTCTGATGATCACGTCCCATCACTCAACACTCTTTAGTTAACTAACTCATTTCGAAATATTTCTGACATTTTTTTCTTTTTTTTTATAAAGCCGCGAAACTTGATAAGCTCTATTACAAGTTATGTTAAAATACCAATCAAAAAGAAATATGAAATAAAAAAATCTTTTATTTCATTGTCGACAATTAAATGACCATCACAGGATCACTAACACTAATTAGAGGCACTTTGAAATGAAAGCAGACCTATTGAAAATCACCAAAATATAATTACTACTCTATAAATAAATATATATATATATATATATATTGCACGTTACACATATAGGAACATCAAGACGACAGCACTATGTTATGCAAAACAGTATGGTGATATTACGAACGAGAGGCGCATGCCATAGAAATGCATTCAGAGCCACACACACACATACACGTACACACACACACAAACACGTACACCCATATGTACACACAAACACACACACACATACGTACACATACAAACAAGCTTGCACATTCATTCCCATATCTAACGAGCAACATCGTCGTTGGAGACAGAAGCAGCCAGAGGTGAACCGCATGCAATACAATGCAGTACGATTGCAATACGATGCAAAACAGAGCACTGCTTATGTTGCACATACAATACAAACACAGCGCGATGCTTTCACAACTAATATATATCAATACATCCATAGACAAACCGTGCCTAACATATATAAAATAAAATACAATTATTGCAGATGTAAGTGTTACGTATTTATATTGTGTATGTGCCGTTCTTGTTTGTTTGTATTTAGCGTACCATTCCCTGAAATTGATTTTATCGAGTTTAATTTTTGTGTTTTACTTTAAGCAGTTTTTTGTTTGTGAGATGTGCGTTTTAAAATAAAACGAAACAATTTTTTTCTCATTTCGACTTGTTGCTTGCATTTGATCAGTCGCACGGAGGTAACGAGCAGGCAGGCAGGCAACAAATATAGTACTCAAGACCGCTGGCAATTTCAACGTTCGGCATTTGACTGATACGAACGACTTTGCAAACTAAAATGAATTCCATAAATACAATGATACCCACCTAACTACACAATAAAATTCATGCTCACTTTTCTGAATCAGAAATCAATAAAGAACGAACTTATTTTATTTTATTGACTGACAGCTTGGTAATATTGAAATTTCATGACAATTTTTTCCTAATAATTATTTTAAAACAATATTCCTGAAACTTTAAATGTTAAAAACTTTTTAGCAAATAATTCTTTCAACACTGCAAACGTGCACCGACACAAATTAACAGGAGTGTTTCCCACAAAGATCCACTGATCTCCAATCAAGGCAAACACGTGAAAAACATCACATTTCAAATCAGCGGGCAACTCCCATGTCAAACACACATTCGCCGATACGTTATCTTCCGATATTTCATCATTATCGGTGATAATCGATGACAATTTTTGTTTATTTAGCGTTTTCATTTCTTGTAAGTAACCAGTTGAGTTGTCATCATTGACAGACATCAATAACTCGAATGAATTATTAGATAGGGCGAATGTGTAAGTTGTACCATTTACATCTTCTGAAACTCTTACCGATACAATTTCTTGGTAAATCTCTTGTAAAGAACTTTTTGTATCATCAGATGATACCTTAGGATTAAAAAAAGTGTTTCATTTTAGTAGCTACTTTCAATAGCGCATCAAACTATGATATAAACTATGTTATTCATTGCCATTTTATGGGATCTTTTGAGATACGAGGAAAAACTTTTAAATATTACTCAAACTGAAGAAAAAGTTTCAAACCTTAAGATAGCCAAGCAGTAATTTCGTCTCCATCTTCTCACTCACAGGCTTTACTGATAGAATAACTTCTTTTAAAATTTTCGCAGACACACTTTTCCAATTTAATCTACTAAAATTAAATCAAAAAATAAATAAATTATCTTTACCAGAAGTTAAAACCCTATAAGTTTTTGAATGAAATAATAAATAAAAACGTGTATTCGGCGCTAAGTAACATACCAAGTAACCCAAACATCATGGTGAAGTGCAGTGGATGCGTTGTGCTCTGCTGATGGTTTACTACAGCTCAATGTGTCAGGTGCATGAATTGAATAGAAGTATTGCTGGTTGAGGTTTTGAGGTGAATTAATTTCTAGATTATCCACAGCAAAACTTTCAATGAATCCAAGTTGGACTTCAGCCTGTCCAACATTACTCAATGGTTTGTATATTAATTCTACGTATAAATCCTCTACGCCTTTTAAAGAACAATCACAATTGAATAACCTGAAATTTTAGGGAAAAAAAATTTTTTTAAATGCCAAAACATAACACAAAAACATTTCAAAAATGTTAAAAATTCAACAAAAACTAAAATAAGAAAAGACTACTTGATGTAAGATACACCAAGACAGTTGACGGCCAGGCAACTTCCACCACAAAAAGCGTTTTCATAACAGGAAGTCAGGTTACCCGATTCCAATAGGGGCTGCAATCCTTGCAAAGACAAGTTGGCCCAACTATCTGTGCTTACACACTGATCATGAAATTTTTTTATATTTAATAATGGTTTAGCTGATTGCTAAGTTGACTGCTGATGAATGAACGAATGAATGAATGAATGAATAAATGAATGAATAAATAAATAAATTAATTAATTAACAAATTAACTAACTAATGAACGAATATGTGAATAATTGTTTGATTGACAAATTAGTTGACCAATTGATCGATTGAGAACAATGATCAAAATAAACTGGAAAAACTTTAATCAAATGATAATAACCAAAAAATCAATAATCTAAATTAAAATTAGTCCATTTAATCCACCTGGCCCTTCCAAAAATACCCCTTAGCACCACAGCCCCAGCAAAATGTGGTCACGAGAGGGAGCTGAGTTACTGACCTCACATACGATGATGATGTAAAATTATTCAACAAGTCCCAAAATCTGACAAATACAATAAAATAATAATAATAAAATAACAATAATAATATAAATAATTATAACAATAACAAGTCTTACTTAGTTTCATTTTGAAAAAAATCCTTTCCCAATTCAACATCTCGCCCGATGGCCTCAAACGTCCAAGACGGAGCAAATATGGCGCTAGATAGATTCCGGGACTTAATTTTTTCCATAGACTAATTTATAAAATACATAAACAAATAAATAATGATATCTAATTTTAATAACCTATTTTAAACTAAACCAACAAGAAAACGCACCAAATATCAGTAATGGTATTACATAGAAAGGTATAGCAAATTTGAATCTAAATATAATAATTTATATAAATATAATATAACAATTAATTCGCTCGTATAACATTTGCGTATATTATGCAGTCATAATTAACCTTGCAGACGTCAAATTTGCCAACACAGCCTCTGGCAAATACGTCAATCCCAATGAAGACATTGTCAGGTCTGTTCAATAGGGAAGCTCTCTTCATTGTTTCATTTAAATTCTCCTCTGTCCACGTGTAGTTTAAGAATATACCATCACATCTATTGAAAAACTGTCTGCAAATCAAGAAAAAACAATCAGTCATTGTGTGCATAAGAAATATGACTTGAAAAATAAAATTAGAATATATGGGTGAATAATTCGTAGGAGTATTTAACTCTTTTTTGATTAAATACAACAATAATTTTAGATTAATTTGATGATAAATACACATATATTGTAAATATTTCAACCACCAACACATTATTATCATTAAGTTCATTTTGCCAGAGTAAATTCCCATCAATAGTGACACTGTCATACCATACAACCAACGAATTTGCATGAACTTTGTGTAGTCTTTCAGTTAATATTTCAACAAAATTCAACATTCTTTCAATAAACTCAATCTGCCATTTTAAAAAATTATTTAATAAAAACAATATTAAAATAGGTGTAAGTCTAATGTTAATAAAATGTTAAACTAGAGCTTCTACATCTAGCTTATTTTCTATATTCAAGAGCCAGCCATCAAAGTTATAGTACAGAGTTATATCAACTAATTTTTTAACAAATTTCTCCATCACGTCATCATTCTTTAAGAATTGGGAACACAACTGCACACCATCATCCCACTCTGTTATTAAGGTTCCTTATTAGAAAAATAGAATTAGATTTTAAATATTTTAAAATCAGTTTTTGAGTGTTGTAAATCATATCAAATTATTAATAAACAAATAATCCAGGGTTAATTAACAACAGAACAATATAAAATGTTTTTACTAAACTAATGATACAAAAATCATAAATTTTTATTCATTGTTTATTGAAAGATTAACCTAAAATAGGTACCCCATGCTTATGACTAGCATCTATCCAACAAGCTGGAGGAATTGTGACAAAATTGTGACTGAAATAAACAAAAATGTCGACTTGCCACCATCGCCAGAATCTGTAACCTTCCATCTTCCATCCCAACAAACATTTTTCATCATCCAGATAGCCCCCTTTTAAATCATGACACACTAATGTCCTTGGCTGGTGTTTGTGGATTTTAAATTTCTCTTCATCCTTGTAAATATTAAAATTATTAAACAATTAAATTTAAAATAGATATAATATAGTATAAAATATAATATAGAATCCTGATTAATATGCAAGTATCAAAAATCAAAATATTAGACTATCTTTCATTTTTTTATTAAATTAATAATAATAATTAATAAAACTTGAAGATTACAAAAAATAATTTAATTAATTTAATTTAATCATTTAATTTAATAATACTGAATGAATTGAATATGAATACTTACAAGTTTAACATGAGATTTTCTGAAATAATCATTTCCTGAATCAGCAGACCATTGCAAAACTTCATTTACCGACAAAATAGGACTCGAATTAATAAAATAATTCATAAATTTGAATTAGAATTAGCGTAACTTAGTTCAAAACATGATTTTTTTCAATCAGATCCATTAAAATTATTGCATAAATCAACTTTTAATCGTTGCTTTCGATTTACACGCAAAATGGTCCCACGGTAAAAAAAAAGCTGGGAATATTTATTTTTTGCTGTAGTGAAAATAAGGAGAACTCATTTTTGACTTTTTTGTTGAATTAAAATTTAATAAAACATTATCTTTTTTGTTAATTTATTTTATATTTATATCTGAAATTAAATTAATTATATCAAATCCTACTTACTTAACTTAGTTGTTAAGAATCTCTAAAGTTATTCTTCAAATAAGTCTGCTAGGAAGAACTAAAATTAAAAAAAAGTCATATGTGTTAGTGCTAGTAGCTAGTCAAATACATTATTTATAAAAATAAAAACAATCAAAAAACTCTTTGTTCCTTTATTTATTTATAATTCATTTTATTCCATATAATTTATAGTACTCTAGTATTCAAATATTGTATTTATTTGTTGCATTGCCATATTTTTGAGCAAAAATAAATAACTTCATTTTAGTAAGTAAACTAAAATTTAGTTTTAGTCAGTTAGCAGCAGAATTAATTAAATTAAATTAATAGAATACATTACATTACTATTATTCAAATACTGAAACGATGGTTGGTTGTTTTTTGGTTATTTTTTTATTTTTACTAAATTCAATTACTTACATGTTTTCTCTTGATTTTAGTTTAGTTAGTTAGCCTATCTAAGTAGCAGAAAATATTTATATTTACTACTTACTATGTGAGTATTTGTCGACAAAAAATGAAATCTTATGTGAAATAAAATTTAAAAGCTATTTTTAAATTATATAATTGAAATTTATTTTTCAAAATTTAATTTAAATTGTTATTTTCAGTCAGAAGAGGGAGAACTAAGAGAAAAATTTCTAAATGATTATCAAGGTTGAATATATTTATTACTTTTGCTATCTTGCTAACATTTCAAAAATAAAATTTCACAATATTTATTAGTTAATTATTAATATTTATTTAGATTTAGTTAATTACCAATATTGCCTTCATATTTTTCCAGATAACATAGAAAAGTTAGTTTATGAAGAGATAGATATAGAGAGGATTAAAACAGATGACCACCTCCTGAATGCCTACCTAGAACATAACAAGTTTGATATTGAAAAGGCAGTTGCCTTCTTACATACTTCGCTAGAATGGCGAAAGTCATTCAATGTCAAAGGTAGTTTATTCCACGCTATTGTTTTTTATAGTTTGAGAAATGATCAATTGTTTGATTATAATAGTTTCAGTTTTCAATCAGGAGCAAAACGTTATTGATAAACTAAAAAATATTGATAAACCAAAGAGTACAAATTAATTTTTATTCAAATTAATTGTTTTCAGAGTTGAGTGCTTCATCATTCCCACAATCCTTGCACGAGTCGAATGTAATTTTCTTCTACAGCAGAGACAAAACAGGCCACAAAATATGTAACTAAACTTCTCAGATACATTTTATTCCATGACCTTAAAAATATTTCAAATACAATAATTTAACCTTCAACAGTGCATCTGCAAAGTGTAAAAATGAAAAAGGACTCGGCCTATTCTGACATGGTGAAGAGATTTCTGGTATGGCAAATAGAGCAAGAGTTTAGAGCAAATATGGGCAAACGAATTGTCGTCTTGCTGGATATGTGTGGCGCTGGGCTGGCAAACGTTGTCAGTTTGTGTTTTTTTTGTGGGTTTTATTAATTTATTTATTTATTCACCAAACTGACCAGAGGATCTAACAGACCACTTATTCAGCCAGTAAAAAAAATGCTTTCTATGAATATTTCTCTCTATTATTAGTTATTTTTTTCATAATTATTTTATGAGGTTTTTCAATTGTTGTAGGGTATTTTTAATTAAAAATTTTCGTTAATTCCATATCAAATGATGGAGCAATTGCTTACTTTATAAGAATTATATGTTAGTTATATATATATATATATAAATTCTTCTTCGCACAGTAAAACACACTTTACATTCAACAGGATATTAATTTTATAAAGTTTCTCATCAGTTGCTTTGCTGCCAACTATCCATACATGCTAGGTTATTCAATTAGCATTTAATTAATTAATCTATTAATTAAACAATCATTCTATTAACTAAATAATTGATTAACCAGTTAATTTTTTATATCATACTTAATTGGTTTATTATTGTTTTATTAACAGAATATCTCCTCATCGTTGACCTACCCTGGATTCTCAGTGGTGAAAATTTATTTTTAAAATTTAATTTTTAAAATCCTGCAAAACTATGGCCGGATGTGCCGACAATAGCAATGTGGTCATATTCAGTGTGGTTAATTAGTTATAGTGTAGTTTAGTTAGTTAGTCATATTCAGTGCAGTAGTTTATTATTACAGTTTATCAAAGATTTGGTAACAATTGTTACTATTTCTCATGTATGAGTGACGTATTTTATGGAATTTTACAATTTAAAAATTTGTTGATTTGGATCATTTCTGAGAAAATATTCAATTTTCAAAGTGAAATGGAAGATATAAGAAGTGAAAAAAAAACCCTAAACTAAAATAACAACACTCTTGTGACTGTTATAATTTTCTATTGATTGATTGATTGATTGATTGATTGATTGATTGATTGATTGATTGATTGATTGATTAGCTGTCTGGCAGTTGGTTAAGAAATGGCTGACAGCTGAACAGCAGAAGTTTGTTTTAGTCGTCAAGCAACATGAACTGCCCAAGTACATCGATAAAGAATCATTATTCATTCATTTGGGAGGAACGGTTGGTTTCGTTTTTTTATGTTCTACATCTTTAAAAGTAATTGATTTAATAACTAATCGAATTTTGAAATAAATTTTTTGAACCGTTTAACAATTTCGATTCAAATCTTTGTATTTCATATCGTGAATTATTTTTTATTTAGAAAGAAATGCCTAAGGTGGCGATGACGAACGAAGTGTTTGACGACATCAAACCCATTAATGGCGATATTCTTGATGGTAACGCTGCCTCTACTACTACTACTACTGCTGCTGCCACTACTGCTGCTAAGCGAACTATTAGCTTTGCTGTAAGTGGCAATTATACTTGCTCGTCCTATGATTTACCCGTATGAATGTTTTGTTCATATCTCAAATTAAAAGTCACACGGTAAATCTGCGTGGTTGCAATAGTACTGAGATTAAAAATTTAGGGGTTTAAGAGTTTTAAATGCAGTAGTCTACAAAACGTAAATGAACAAAAAACTTAGCTTCTCATATCCAGTGTCATTTTAGATTCACTCATCTTTTTTAATAATTTCAATCTGATTGTTAAAGTGGCGAAACGTTTTTTTTGGAAAGCTTGTAGGGGACTAAATATTTTTATCGTTAAGTTATGAACATTTTAAACTTTATCTATGTTTAAATTTAATCTATTATCACTACTACTTCTTTTCCCTTAAACTTCTTCCTTTAATATAAGAAGTATCGTAGTTAGTTAGTGTTGAGATAATAAAATTATTCTACACGACTTAGATTGTATATTTTATAAATCGACAACCAAGTTGTCAAACATAGTTAATCAAACATTCTTAGCAGACCACCAAACCAGCAGCTGAATCACAAACGGTTAAGAAAGATAGAATGCACCCATCCATGTCGGAAAACAACATTCTTGCAGTTGGAAGTCAAACTAATTTAGAGGTTTTTTTCTTATCACTTCATTCGATTTTCCAATTTGTTCAAGTATATTAAGAACTTGAAAAATCTCATTGCATTTAAAACAGTAGACCAGCGTCTCGTGACGCCATTAATTGAAAGTTTACTAACATTCAAGTTTTATTATTTCAAGATTTTTATCAGTAGATGCTATTAGATGAATGCATAAATTAAAAAGACTTAGTTTAAATAACCTTGCGCCATCTATTTTATTTTACTGAGTATCATTTTGTTCATCTAAATTTAACTTAAATGAATCTGCAGAGCAATGTGAAAAGCACTGTTAAATCAGTGGTTGTTAGGTTAGCTTATTTTATTATATTCAATTTAAATGCGTTGATATTTAAACTGCTTTATTGAAAGTGGAACTGTACAATATTGCAGTCCAGAAGATTATCTGATATATAACAGAGCCAGTGATTCTGATGATGCAAGTGCCTTGATAACTTTGCAAAACAAATCTCCAACTCCTGTCGCATTCAAAGTACTCGTCATTCTGCTTTTTTTTCATTATTACTTATAAGATTTAAAACAAAATGAACTCATAAATAGTGTTTGCTGAAAAAATCACCTTGTTTGTTATGCATAGCTTGAGTTTTTGTCTATTGAGAATTTTTCTGTAAAAGAAATATGGTTAAGCTGAATTTTAGTTGCTTTTCTGCAGATAAAATCAACTAATCCAGATGCATATAGAGTTAAACCAGTTTCTGGGATTGTGAGTCCTATGTCGAATGCAGAAATTGTTGTGACCCTCCTGGCAGGTTAAACAAATACATAATGAGAACGTGAATTATAACAGACTCGTACATTTTCTGTAAACATCATTTGAAACAGGCAAGCAAATGAATACATCGAATGACAGATTTCAGTTGGTTTTAGTGATGGTTCGGGACAAGTCATCCATTGATAATCTCTCGACATTCTGGAAAAACATTCCAACCAATCCAGATGATTTTGCAGATCATCGGTTTGTATTGTTTTAGATAACTCATTCATACATAACAAAGTGAAAGTGGTCTATCATTTAAAATTTGTTTTTTCAGTTATTCTTGTAAAATTCTAGAAAAAACAAGTCAAAGGAAAACATTCCCTACAGATGCTTGTGATAAAACGGTTAGAATACACAATTTAAAAAAAATGTTGGTGTTTATGATAAAACTGAATTCATTTTTTATCAGATTACTAATGAGGAGATAATGAACAGACTGAACTTCTTCCAAAATTCCATATACATTATCATCATTCTTCTTTTTGCGATTATTTTGAAACTGTTTTCAATGGCAAATTTAGCATAACACAAGTTTTAAAATCAAAACTTTTTTGCGTCAGATTTATTTAAAAAGCAATACTGCAGCCATATTTAATATTTTTGTGATTTTTGTCTTGGTGGTTTTGGAATTCAGAACTATACACTATTTTTATAAAATCATTTGAAGCATTTAACACAATTTTCAGTGCTTTAATTTTATTAGATTCAGACAATGTTTGATATCATAAATACATTCAGATGATTCACTGCCCTTGCACAACTTCGATCAAAATCACAATTACATGAACGATATTAGATTAATAAACATCCTCAATCGTGTTGTCATGTATGTTAAATTGTTAATTTTGTATGTTATACTCTGAAGACAACAACTTATTTAAGAGCGTTTTGTCTCCTCAAATAACTAATTCTTTACACTTTCGGAAAAGTCTCCAACTTCAACTGGCAGTTGGGGATACAAATAAAAGTGCTCGAAGTTACGCGTCGGGTGCAGTGGCCACCTAACAAATGCATGATCAAACCTTTTACTTGTCATCATTAGCTAATAAAAGTAATAAAATAACTGACGGTAATGGTAATCTAGATACTAGTGAGTGAAGAAAAGTGCGATGGAAAGTTTCATTTTGTTCGTAAATTAAAACAGTTTTGGAGATTGAGATCACTCTACGAATAACAATTTGAATTTAATAAAAAATTTTGAGAATTTAACGGTATAATATAATATTATAATTTATAACACGCCAGAAACTGGCCTCCGGTCGAATCACGAAGTAAATAACGATTCAAAAGCAAGCTCGACAACGACAAAGAACTAACAGCACATGGGAAAAATGAATGCTAACCAAGAACAAATTTTGATAGAGCGATGATTATAATGACAATGTAAGGCTTGCATGTACATTCGGGCAGATGCTATAGTTATTTAAACCAATATTCTTGTTGGATATTAGTAGAATTTATGTTCCTTTTTGTAAATTTTTTTTTTAAATTATCAAGATACATTTAGTCAGAAATGAATCCTCCTATCTTAGTATGAACTGTTCAAAAACGGTGATCTTGTTAATGGTGTTAACATGGTTTGAATCAAGTAAAAAAAATAGACCGAAAATGTATTTACATTAATTTCAATCATAAAAATGTATATAAACAAAAACAATGTCACTGCACGTAAACATTACACTCCTTATGTTATGATGTTGTACATTAAATCGTGATCCTTTCAGCTTACAACTTTTAAAACTTGAACAACTTATCCGCTTGGCTATGCGTTGTTGGAAAAAATCTGAAGTTTCCAGCATTTTTTCTTTCACACACTTCACTTTGAAACGTCAGTTGAGCCTAGCAAATGGAGTGTCGATAATTTTAGGCCTGATTATTGGCAGTGGTATTTACATAACACCTCAAAAAATGCTGGAACACGTTAAATCTCCAGGTCTCAGTTTAATTTATTGGGGTTTCGGTGGTCTGTACACCTTCATTGCAGCCTACTGTTTGACTGAGGTGGCAATTAAATATCCAGTTTCTGGTGAGAAATATGCTTACATGAACATTCTCTACGGCCCTTACTATGCATTCTTTTACATATGGCAGTATCTATTCCTAGCGCGACCAGGAAGCAATGCCTTGAAAGCCATCATTCTCGGTAGATATCTGCTGAAGCCGTTGTTTTTAAATTGCGATGTGCCTAACTTGGCCGTTATGTTAATATCGTCTGTTTTTGCTTGTAAGATTATCTTTAGTTTATTTTCATGATTTTTTATTTTTTATTAAAAATGTTAATTTCAGTTGCTATATCATTTTTAAACTGCATAAGTGTACAACTGTCTGCAAAATTCCAGGGCGTTCTCACCTTCATATCGGTTTTTAGTCTGGTTCTTTTATCATCGATTGGCGTCTATAAGCTAGCTAAAGGTTGGTCTTGGTTGTTAGATTGTCGTTTAAACAACCGTAAATTAAGAAAGTGAAATAATTTTGCAGGTGAGGTAGAAAATTTACAAAATCTATTTGAGGGTTCATCAACCCACCCTGGCCATCTTATTCTCGGGTTCTACTCAACCGTTTTTTCCTTTTACGGATGGTTTAAACAATGTTTTATTTCTAAAATCGTTAAAGTATAAACATTTCACAAATTACCATTATCTATTAAACAGGTCGGCTCTGAATTTTCTTATTGAAGAACTCAAAAATCCTCTGAAGTACATTTTTATTTGCTGATTTGATTTAGTTGAGGCGTTAAAAATTTAAACTATTCATTCTATTTTTTTAATAAGAAATTTGCCAAGAGCCATCGTCATTAGTGTTTTGTTCGTAAGTTTTTTCTTCGTCATGGTGAATTTGACATTTTTTTTGGTGTTAGGCAGAGAGGGGGTGATGCAATCTGAAGCCGTTGCCATAGTATAATTAATTATATATTTTTATAATATTTTAAATAAAATAACATTGAAATGTATTATACTAATCTTACGAAGAGTACAGCAATTGAAGTTTTCGGAGATCTTGGATGGATAATTTCAATTATGATTGCTATAACATCCTTTTCTGGATTCAGTTCAGGAATTATGGTTGGATCGAGGTACTTTTTGAAATAAAAATACAATCCGGATTAAAATTATATGCATAGATTTACTTAACATACTTGCCAGATTAACAATGGCTGGTGCGAGGAATGGCCACCTTCCAAGAATTCTTTCTTATATAAGCATAGAGTTTAGAACACCCATAATTGCCTTAATATTTCAGGTTCGTTATTTTCTAATTGCTCACTGATTGCTTATTGATTGCTTATTGATTTTTTTAAATTTATTTTTTGACAAACTCGGTCGTCTGTTTAGTGCCTGTTGTCGTTGATGTACGTGTGGGTTCTGGACGTTTCGGCAATTATACAGAACGTCATGTTTGCTAATTTCGTTGTCGACTTCCTAGTCGAAATCGCTTACATCAAAGTGAGGTTAAAAGAAAAAGTGGATAAACCAAAATTTCAAGTTAGTAGAAAAAAAATTAACGATTTCCAGGTTGGAGTAGACGGTTTTGCCTCCCAAATGTAACATTTATCAGTGGAATTTCATCTTATCTTATCAAACAGGCTCCATTCTTAATGCACGTAATGTACAGTTTCTTGCTCTTCATATTAACAGCCATACCATTGGTCACCCAGCCATCTTCATCGGCTGTTGGGGTCCTAATCATATTTTTATCGTCTGCATTCATCTACTACCTTCTCATTCGCGAGAATTCTGTCGGGGAGGCCATCAGTCTGAAAACAAGTAAAGAAATGTGGATTAATCCTTTTTTTATTAAACTGGAAAGAATTAAAAATTTATGAAAATATTCACTAAAAATATATCTTAACATTAAATTTTAATAAAATGTGATAACAAATGAGCATCATTAACATTTCTCATCATAACTCTAGGAGGTGCCAGTTGCTTCATTCAGAAACTTTTTTATTGCGCTCCTGAGAAACTTGCCTCTACAACTGATTAGGAGATAGAACAGTTTCTGTTTTGCAATTTTTTTAATTGTATAATGCTACGTGAAACAATTTAAAATGTAACAATAAGTTTGTAATAATATCTAACCTAGGTAATTTTTTATTTCAATTTTTTAGCTTTGTTTAGCAATTCTTAACACTTTTGATATGATGTTCCTTATAATCGTTTGAAATGTTTTATGATAATTCAATTTTTTTATTCTTCGCAATTAATTTTGTGGAGGCTTTTTCGTGTTTGTCAGTTTAATTAATTTTTCAGTGTTACACGTGGATTATAAGATGCCCCCCATCTATCGACTCTTTTTCTCTTGGTGTTTGTACTGTGTATTTGATATTTGATCAATGCTTCTAAATTTTTAAAATACAAAACTAATGCGTTTCAAGCGAATTTGGGTAAATAACATCGAAAATTTTACGTGCAATAAATCAAAAATAGTCATCATACAAGTGCAGCCAAGTGTAAGTTGCCAAAATCGCATTCATGCGAGAGAGATAGGTGTTAAATTTCTTATTACGTAGATCGCTTAATTAATTGATACAATATTGAAAGACATTAATAGACAAGAAATAAACTTTGCAACGTTCTCGACTTGGTTATTATCAACCGGATCAACAGAAAAGGAAAAGTGAAGTTACATACAAAGCAAAAAACATTTGGTCCAAAGAAAATAAATGTATACTATAAATCATAATGTTTTAATATAAAACATAAAACTTAACACCTTCTCATTTTATTTAAAACATTAGATGACCTTAACCTAAATGTTCTGAAGACCCATCGCACACATCAGATTCTTTAGTCTTGGTCCTACCATTGGTTTTGTCAGAGCATCAGCAACTTGAAGTTCTGTCGCAACTCGTTCAACTGAAACTTCTTCTTCTGCAACTTTTTCTCTGACAAAGAAATGTCTAATGTGGATGTGCTTTGTTCTTCTGTGAAGTTCTGGATTGTGTGCTAACCGAATTGCTGCTTCATTGTCGACAAAAATTTCTGGTTTTTTCTTTAGATCTACGATGTCGTTCAACAATCGTTTGAGCCATATCACTTCACGAGCTGCTTCACTTGCGGCAACGATTTCTGCTTCAGTAGTTGAAATCGCAACTGAGGGCTGACGTTGGCTAAACCAACTGATCACGCTTCCTCCAAACATACAGATTACACCTGAT